CGCACTGTATAGAGAAGGTACCATCTTCTATGCCATATGCTGATGATATTGATATCTTTGGTTTAAATAACCACCGTGGCGTAAGTTTTGCTTTCTTCAGACTGGCCAAACAAGCGAAGCGAATGTGACTAATAGTGAACGAAGACAAAACGAAATATCTTTCGTTAGGAACCAGCATAAACAGTCATAAAAAAGTCAACCTTGAAATCCAACGCAGAATCACTCTTGCTAACAGTTGATACTTTGGACTTCGGTGGGGACGATGGTGATATCTGATGAGTCGGCGCTGTGAGTCGAGAGAAAAGTTTTGTGAACGATGTACGGTCCTTTACACATTGGCAGACGATGGAACGATGAGCTGTACGAACTATCTGATGATATTGACATAGTTCAGCGAATGAAGAGACAGCGACTTCAGCTCATGTCGTCCCAATGGATGAAAGCATTCCAGGTTTGAAAGTATTTAATGCTGTATCCGTTGGTGGAAGCAGAGGAAGAAGAAGACCTCCACTCCGTTGGAAGGAGCAGATGGAGAGCGAGCAAGCTTTATTTCGTATTTCCAACTGGCGCCAAACAGCGAAAAGAAAGAATGAATGGCGTGCTAATATTGATTCGGCTATAATCGCGTAAGCGGTGCCAATGCCAATAAAGAAGAAGAAGAACCTCCGCAAGGCTGAGGACCATTTTATTTTATGTCGCAATTAAAGAAATTAATTTAAAATAAATTTTCTATAATTATTGAAGTTGCTCTGGTCAGAAGTAGAATTCATAATTCTCAGCGTGGGTAGTACACATAGCCAACTACTCAGCTGATATGCGCTGGAAGTGAGTAATTTTAGTGTGTATTCAGTCAGTTTTTGGCGACCGCAAAAGCAGAGTGGTTAGGGATCAAGTTCTGGTCTGGTCTACACACTAAAATTAACGAAAATTTATTTAAATAATAAAAAATTAATGGGCATGCTAAGCCCTCTGATGTGATATGGAATAAAAATCCATCGACCGCTCGGGGGGCGGCTTGGTATGAACTGTAGGTCCCTCCATCGAAGAAGACTTAGTTAAGTCAACTAAATATTCGTATTGTCATTGTAACTTTTTTGCTCAAAAATATTTTAATTAAATACTTTTTGTTTATTTGTAAAGTCCAAAGATGTTTTCTCTCTCGGTTGTGCGTATCTAAAGTGGCGAATCTTTACAGTCACAGAGAGCTTCCATATGTTTTGCTATTATTTACAGTTACGTGTTTATTTACAAATATTTTTAAATAGAAGTGCTTATGAGTTGTTAGGTAAAAAATATTTTTAATTTAATTTTTTTTATTTCACCTTCAACTTTTCCCTATAAACATTTGTCTTTTCTATTATTTGTCTGTAGAGCCAAGGTTAACTGATGTCCAATAACAAAGAATATGCCAATGAATACAAGCGTTAAATGAAAACAAATATTTCTGTTTACAAATGTATAAGAAAAAAGTAGGTAATGATGACTTGCAAAGCACATACATAAATATCTCAGGCAGGTGGGCACATTAGTCACACGTCTAATTTGGTTGGCACTAACGGCAATTTACTCGGCTTAAGAAGACTAAAACTTTTTTGTTGTTTGAATTCCAATTGAAAGCAGCTGAACTCGGAGCTCTAGTGTTAAGCCTTGTTTGATTTCTGTTTACTGCTTATTTCTGCTTCCTCTTCTAGTTTGCTCAATTTAATAGTTTTTTCATTCTTTCTTTTCTGTTTTGGAAGTCTAAGGTCAATGTCTAAATTACCATTAAATGCTTAGCAGATAATTTGATCTCAAAAGCGTGCGTGATGAGTGATGATATCAGCCGTTACCGTTGTGTGTGTGTTAGTTGTTGATGTGAGGGCAAATAATTTGAATTGAAAACATTGATAAAGAAAGAAACAGAAGAAGAGGGAAAGAATTGTAAAAGTTGTTGAGTGATTTCACTTCGGCGATGATTAGTCAGCTGACCAGCAACAACGGCTTTAAATTAAAACAACACAAAAAATAAAAAAAAATAATAACAAAGAAAGTACAGCTAACTGTACATTTTACAATCATTTCTTTGTGTTCCGAGAATTAATTTAAAAATCAACAAACAACAAAGTTTAATCTCATGACGACAAATTAATTTGAAATTAATTTTTGGAAAGCGATTTAAGACGCTCTTAATTCACATTTTCAAAGGTCATTGCCATCTTTTGTTCTGGTGATTGATGTTGAAAAAAAATAATCATGTCAAAGCAAGCATTGAGTCGTATTCATCGCCATGCCTTTGATGCTCCTAGGGACAAAGACATTTAAAGGCCTTTTCGGACCGACAATCTGTACAAAAAATTTCCTCCATTTTAACACATAACTTCGAGAATCATTAGTTTAGTAAGACATAGGCTCCTGGTCCAACTTATAATTGCAGTCGACGGAAGTTCTATCCAGGACCGCAGCAGGAATGCAATGAATACCATCAGTGACACTAAAGAAAATAAAGGTCGAGGATTCAACGAGGATTCATCTGATCCAAATCAACTTAAAGAACGGAGTTCCAAAATGTAAAGAAAGAACGGAGAGCTTAAATGTAATGGTTTATCTCAAATCTAATTGAAAAGAAAAGCTCCTTCTCGTCGAGAAACAAAACAAAGATCAAACTCTAAGTCGAACTAAAAGTCCCACATCATTCCCGTCCTGCTATATGATTCCGGATGGCAGCTGCAGCTGCTGAGTTGCCATTAGGAGTTTTCGAGAGCAAGTTTTTGCCGAGATTTATGCGCATTGCGAACGTCGAATACCGCAGGCAATGAGCTGTACATACATAGCTAAGCGAATCAAGAGTCTGCGGCTAAGCTGGCAGGCTCGTGTTTTCCAAATGAATGAGAACACTTCAGCGTATATAGTAATCGATGCATTACACGCCGGTGGTAGCAAAGAAATAGGAAGACACCCATTGCTTTGGAAAGATCAGGCGGAGAATGAGCTGTCTGCATGTGGTATCTCTAGTTAGAAAATAGAAACGACTTAGCTCGACGATGCTACAATCAGTAAATAATATGTTGCTGCTTGGTCTCTTGTAATAAATAAAGGGCTGGTTGTTTCGTTTGCTCTGCTATTTCTTGGGGAATCTTCAATATGTATGCCAAAGCTCGGTCGAAAAAAATCTTAGCCAATGAAAAAGCCCAAAGTATGTATCGGGTTAGGAAGAGATTCAAAGTACCGAAGTGCCCTCATATAAATTCTGGCAAAATTACAAACTACTTTCAAACTGAACTCTTTGGAATCATGGAAGCCGAAGCTGAGGGTCGATAACTACATGTATTCCGATATTCAAGCTATCCCCAGATCTCTATAATGTAACAATATCACATCAAACTTGGCTATGAAATCTAGAAGCAATCTGAAAAAATTCTCAACTAAACGCAACATCTTCGTGGTCCAGGTACTTATATACAGTAACATCTCAGGCAATAGCATGACAGATGAACTAGCAATAAAAGGAATCCTTCTATCCATACACATGATGCAGGTTTACCTTTGTCCACGGCAAAGTATAAGCTTAAGCTGGCATCTTATACTTCTAGATTATATATATCTTATACTTCTAGATTATATATATATATATATATAATGTTTTTCGATCAAATGGAGGGACCTACAGCCCTACTAAGCCGCCTTCGGCCATTTTTTATGAGAAGCTTTATTTCATGTCAGATATACACTTGAAGGGGTTGACACTCCCTGCTTTTTGGATGTTAGTACGATACGGGAATTTGGAGCCGAGCATTCCGAATGATAGTACGAAATGCTAATCACTCTGCTACCGCGAGTTTTCCATTACTATAATGACAGGAAAACCAAGCCACAGTGATTTTCCCCGCAGCCGTAGGGACGAAGAAGAGAAAGAGTCTATTGAAAACTAACTCTTTCACAGTCCAGCCTTGACATCTGCGTGACAAAACTTCCTCGGAAAACAAAATTTTGACTGTCTCGCGTCAGCGATAATTGGAAGTCTCGTTGCCTTTACAAGGCACTCGAAATGGTTGGTTCGATCAGTTGAGAAGAAAACGACAGCAGCCTCGCAGCGGTATCACAATGGGCTTATGGGCCTAAGTGTGCTGGGAGGACGCTGTAATGTTGGAACCCCCTCAAAAGCATTCACGATCTGTCTACAACTATCTTACAACTGGCCTGTTTTAGATCCTTCACAGTTAAGGTATCGACTTCTAAGGAGAATTTGTCTAACTTCGGCAGGTTCGTGTTTCAGTGATTATATGAATTTTTAACACAATAACACTCGTACAATTCGTAAATGTGGACGGCTTAAGAACTTTCACTTTTTGAAAGGTCCTCCTCCAATTTGTGTTATTTCAAAAAATGGAGTTTATCCTAAGCTGCCTGCGAGCGACTGAAGGAGCATCCTTCTATCTTAGGAATACACTCGGAGGACTGGAATTCCCTGCCGAGGGGTGACCGCAATTCGAAAACTTATTGTTTTTATAATTTTGGATGTTAGCCGGGCCAGTAGTGGTACCCTGGCTTTGTGAATTGCACTGCTAATGGAAAATTGCGGACACCCGCGTGGATATGTTCAGTAGGTATTACTTAAGAGATTTCTCAGATGCAATGGTCTAAATAAGTTCTTGATGGCGGCAAGTCTTCAGTCTCTCTCATGTGTATGAGCCACCTAAGAAAGCTCAACATCTATCTTTCATCAAATCAAAGAGTTTCTGGGCTGCGGGCGAAAGATCACGTGCATTTTTCTAGAATTCTCAACCAACTCAATTTAGTCCTCAGTTGAGGATAAAAATCGATAAAAATTAAGTTAACCGTTTGTGGTCTTGCGTTAAACACAGCGGAGCTCGTCATTTCTTTCCTTATACAAAAAGTTTCGACCAACTCTATTTCCTCTTTTACCGCTTTCTCCTTTCTACTTCAACCACGCATTATTATCGCTGCTCGTTTACGTTTATTGACTTATCTTCAGTAAATCTTTATTATTCGGTTTCTTGCAGTGTCAACAAAATAACCACATTACAACCATTCGAAGACTGCCTAAAACTTCAGGAACTGTATTTGCGTAAAAACAATATACAAGACATAAATGAGATTGCATATCTGCAAAACTTGCCAGTACTCAAGTATTTGTGGTTGGAGGAGAATCCATGCTGTGATCGAGTTGGTCCCAGGTGAGTTTAAGAATCTCCACACACCGGCGGGCTTTAGATTTAATTAAAATCTTTTTTTTTTGGATTTGCCACCTCTACCATCTCCAGTTATCGCCAAACAGTGCTACGTGCCTTGCCGAATCTCAAGAAATTGGATAATGTTGAGGTGACGCAAGAGGAGCTCGACGAGGCGCTACGTGCTGGTGGCGGTGGTAGTGGCAGCGGCAGCGGCGGTACGCGCGAGGAGGACGATGTATATGAGGATAGTTATGCGCAGCAACAGCCGCCATCACGTTACGAACAACCATCGCCGCCACAACAGCAACCGCAACAACAACAATCACAACAAAATCACTACCCGCCACAACATAGACAACAGCAACAGCATCAGCAGCCATCACCGCAACAGTATCAGCAGCAGCAGCAGCAGCAGCGACGCAGTTCGAGTCCAATGAAAGAGGTAATTTTTTTCTCAGAAGTTTCCGGCAAAAAAAATGAAAACTTAACAAAATCATATCAACACTTGTTGCATATTTATTTAGTTGCCTTAGTCTGTACACGTGTAATTAGTAGATGTAGGCCAAAAACTAGTAAAGTAGTTTGGTTTCACTAAAATCGATGTGCTCATAGAGAAGGAATTAATCTTTTAGATTCAAAGATTTTATGTAAATCCTAATCGATACTAGAAAAATTCTAGATAATTTAAAAAAAAAATTGTAAATTAATTTTATGGCCTAAAAGAAATCTTATACAGTAATGACAACATTGGTCGGTTAACCTGGATTCCCTGTTGCACCTTCCAGATCTCCTTCGTTCGTCAGCAGGCACTAGACAAGTTTTGTAGTTCAATCTTCTTCTTCTTTATTCGTACCGCTTACGCGATTATAGCCGAATCAATATTAGCGAGCCATTCATCCCCTCCTTTCGCTGTTTGGCGCCAGTTGGAAATATCAAGTGAAACCAGGTCACTCTTCGCCTGATCCTTCCAACAGAGTGAAGATCTTCCTCTTCCTCTGCTTTCATCAGCGGTTACTGCATCGAATACTTCCAAGCCTAGATTGCTTTCATCCATTCGGACGACATGACCTAGCCAACGTAGCCGCTATCTCTTCATTCGCTGAACTATGTCAATATCATCATATAGCTCGCACAGCTCATAGCTCCAACGTCTGCAGTATTCGTCGTTGCCAACGCGCAAAGTACCATAAATCGTTTGCAAAACTTTTTTCTCAGCGCCGGCTCATCAGATATTCATATCGTCCACGCTTCTTCGCGATATATTAGGACGGGTATGATGAGCGACTTGTAGAGTTTGGTTTTCGTTAGCCGGGAGAGGACTTTACTTTTCAATTTCCTACCCAGTCCAAAGTAGCACCTGTTGGCTGGAGTGATTTTGCTGACACCGAGATAGACGAAACCCTCGAAGCAAGGAGAGTAGTCTTTTATGAGCCAATTTGAAGACACAAAGATACGTGAAAAAGAAGCTTCTGTAGTTTCCTTGCTGGGTTTTCTTCGAAAATATTCACCAGACAAAGATCTAATGAGGTAAAATAATTCGATGGCGTCCATTGCTTTCCGATGACACCTCTGTAACAACCAACGTCTTCTTCTCTGTTCAGTCGTTATTTATATTAACGCTTTGAATATCTAGAACCTAGAAGGGAGTATACAAGCAAAACTAAATTGTGGATTAGTTCTTTTCACTGGGGTACATTGATAAAACCGCGACCGGGCCCATATAAGACCACCAAGAGCTCGGTGATTTGAGAGTGGGTCCAAGTCAGAGCAAGGACAATAAACTCGATAGATGAAAAGGAAGCAGCTGCATTAACTTTTTATTGCTAATAGTGGAGATTGTTGTCACAACTGTCCGAGCTTTAATTTGGTGTTTTCGTTGATCTCTTCTATTTTTAGGTTCTTTATTTTAAAAGAAGGATGACAGTCTAGCATCCGTATCCTCGCCCTTGACCTCCAGGCAGAGAAATTGATTCTCTTCCACACTTGCTAATCCGTTAAATATTGTACCGATGTGACAAGACATGGAGTGCGTGTCGCTTTCGGAACCTGACTGTTTACCAGTGTCTGCCGAAGTATTTCCATGTTCACTTGTGTTGCTATCGGAGAATTTTCGTACTTCCAATACCGCCATGTCAGGCGTAGTTAATTCCTTGCTCGGATAAAAGGGAAGGCTCTCTCCATGAGGGTTGTAGGATCAGCAGACGTGGTTTTTTGGTTTGAGATTCACGGCATCATCAAGGCTTTATTGAGGGTTTTCATTCTGGTGGAGTAGAAATCGTAACTGAATAATACAAGTTAACGGAAAATCTCATGAAACGCTGCTGCTCCTTGACCTCGCTAGCTAGAGCTGCCCTCCAATAATTCGTTGTTAGCTCCTCATTGTGACGACGTTGGATGAGTTCTAGAATCTCCTCTGCCTTCTCGGTATAGGCACTTGGTTGGCATGCCGGCTAAATTAAGTGCAGTGCAGTGCTCCACCACTTCGACGATTGCTTCCTCACAGAGTTTTATAGCTCTTTCATCAGCATAAGACACGAGCTTCATGAGCTTTATTTGAGCCAGCCTTTGAAGCGATTAACTGACACACGTCCGGGTATCTTTGTAAAGCAGCTTTGCAATCTTATCAATATCCAGATATCTGTGGAGATCATTCACTCAGCATCACTGCCTCGTTGAAGAGTCTCGCGGTTCGCGAATATATTCTTACTGCTGCTGAATTATGCACCAAAAGAGAGAGCCTTTAGAAGGTGCTGAGGCCAACATGCTCTCACAAAATTAATATTTTTTCTCCGGTTTCCCATTTACTGATCAGCACTGTATAAGATTTATAAAAAAATTTAAAAACCAAATTTTAATTTTATTTAACAAATTTAATTTAATTGAATTGAATTTCAAAATTGGGTGCTGGATTCGATTACCAATAGTTTTTTATTGCCTACTCGTAGAAGATGTAGAAACCAGCTTTTTAGAATTTTCTTCAAATCCACAAATAATAATAATAACAATACTAACTTTCATTTATGCTTACATAATGGACTTTTTATTATGAAAATTTCAATATTTTTGAAAATTCCAATATTTAAATACTAAAAACTGAAACGCAAATGCTGGCAAAACCAAAGCTCTCACAACAGAATAGTCCAGCAAACACAGAAGAAAGCGCCAGTGAGCCGAGTAAAAGCAACGAGGTCTCAAAGCCGGCCTCACCCGCACAGGTATTTCGCCGCAGAATGGCAATACGATTTTTTGGTTTTATTGTACTTAGAAGCTTTAGTAAATAGATTTTTAGTTTCATAACGAAATTTTTATGCAAAAAATATGCTTAAAATATTTACCACGAAAAAACCGTTAGTTATAGTATTTGCTTCTAATTTTAGTTTACTTTCATGATCCGTAGTCATTTTTTTCCGGTTTTTGTTGTTAGTAAAGCTGCCGCTTATTTTATGAATATGCAGAAATTCATTGATTTCATCCAGAAAAAATTACATCATTTAAAGCTAATATATATAATATAAAAATATAATATTATATACTAATTATCAATAATTATTGTTTTGCAATTTATATACTTTTTCTATACTGACACCATCACCTCTACTGCTAATGCCACCGCAATCAATGCACAGGAGCCAGTTGCGCATACACCTTCACCGAAATATAATTCATACACCAACGTGAATCGATTACCTTATCATCAATATGATGTAAGAACTTTTAACGGTTTTTTTCGAAAACTTTTTTTACCTATGTTTTTTAATGCCAAAGATCTGTTGATTATGAGTACCAATTGACTTAACGTTCCCCAAGTGAGGAAAGGTGCTGCTCACAGCTGGCCTTACCAACTGAGTCGGAGATTTTCTCTTGCTCTACTTCCCACATACGATACCAACATCATCGGAATACGCCAGAAGTTGCACGCTCTTATGAAGAGTCTGTATTCTTTACGACGGCTAGTTTTCAATGAGGCAATACTTTTATCGAAGTTGATCTTTAGGACAGCTGTTACATGATTTCATTCAGTTCGGTTTGGTATTTTATAACCGACTTAGTACAGAACAGATTACTGATTGACTTAATCGCCCAGTAGAGAGGGTAATTCCAACAACTATGGATCAGTTTCCCACAACATTTACCCTAGCGGATAATGCGCATTCTCAGAGATGCCGTACAGTGCGCTTCGAAGACGCTATTGCTGCTGTGAAACAGAGTATTGAAGAAGAAAACCCGAATGCGCCCATCTGCTACTTTATAGGAGATATTGCAAAGATCCTTTTGCCGGATTATTTAATTTAAATTCATTTCATTGAAAAATTGAAGCCGAACAACCATCCAGCGCGTTGCATGTTCGGTGAATGGGTCCAAAACGAGATGGTCACGGAACCCGATTCTTGCGAGGAAATTTTGTACAGCGATACAGCTTACTTTTGGTTAAATGGGTATGGTAAGATATGTCAAGATATGCTGCATGATGAATATCTGATGATTGGTGGATTTACCATGTTTGAAGCCACAACGATAAGGTCCACTCAGTTCATTGACCTTACACAATACTCACTATAACTATGTATATAAGATTCTCGGTTATGTGGATTTGGCAGAGTACTTTTCCAATCGCAGGCATGCTCATGTGCCCATCAGACCAAATTTTGAGAAGAAACTGTTGCTTGCCGGTTCTTCACCGTCATATTTGAATAGCCCTGTGGGCAAGCCAACAGGTCCTGCCGCTTTCTTGCTCTTAAGGCGTGCAATTGTCATTCAGATGCCAACTTAGTCTGAAGATGGAATATAGATTCCGACGGTACTCATTGAAGTTTTGGTCCCGCCAGCTATAGATGTTTTATTTTCACAGCCATTCAGCAAGCTGTAGAAGTGTTCTCTACACAAACCAGATTTTCTCTTTGGTTTCTACAAGAGTTTTCAAAATAATGTTGGTCAGCTCCTTAAGCTCTTCATACAAATACATTTGCGCCTAACTTATTTTCTATCAGCAAATATTTACGCCCTACTTTCCACTTTGACGCGCGGTAACCCCTTCGTAATCGCAACATTACGAGGTAGATTGAATTTTTTTCGTACGACACTCTGTTTTCGACCTTAACTTGGTTAGGAGCTGAACATAGGGACCTTAAAACACCTCCGGCTAAGTAGTTCAGCCTTAACTCAATTGGAGATATTTTTCTGACTGATTTCACCGGGACTTTCGTCAAAGATGTCTTTCCTTGCCCTCACTAGCCTCAAGATTGCCAAGTAAAATTTTGACATCTTGGCTGGGAAAGAGCTTATAAGTGTGCTCCAGGCGCTCATAAAATACATCTTTGATCACATCATCCGTCTGTAAGGGAATCGATTGCAGCGAGACGATTCATCCACCGGCGTGAATGGCAGGACTCGGCGACAACTTCATTCTCCCTTTATATTAAGGCTTTCTCTCGTTACCACATCTTTTCCTAGAATAGCTTAAGTTTCCAGGTTGTGCGTGGAGAATGCTAGAGTAGGGATTGAGTATAGACTATAACTGCATACTCAGAAGCAGGACTACACCTCATTACGTCAATGTGACATCGAATATGGATATGTAGCCGACCGCTTAAGGATAGACAAGTTTAGTCTATATTCAAAAATGCTGCTTCCTATTCCCCACGCAATTTTCAAAATGTTGAGAAACAAGAGGAAGAGAGGTCCTTAGTCCTTTGCACAAATCGCTAATATTACTGCTTCCTTGTCAAAGCAAATGTCACAAAGTTTTCAGTATGAATAAAATTACATATTGCCTAAACGTGAATTTGACACCGCAATGGCGGATTATCACACAGGTCACGCGAGTTTCGGGCTCGTACAGACACAATATCAACAAGGAAATTCCTTCGGTTGACTGCCGAAAATATGTTGTTTTAGAATAATACGAGGTGTGACAATTAAGTAATGAGAATACAATTCTGCCATCCTGTCCAAAGTAGTCCCCTTAGGCAGCTATACAACGATTCCAGCGCATTTTCCATGCTTCGTAACATTTCTGCAACGCTTCGACTGGGCTGTTCGCGAGTACCCTCGTCAAGGTCGCCTGGATGTCCTCAATCGACTCAAAATGAGTTCCTTTGACCACCGATTTCGTTCTAGGGAACAAAAAAAAAAGGCACAGGATGATTCGGGTAGATACTAGGCGAATACGGCGGTTGTTGTAACATCGCAATCCCTATAGAGGCCAAATACTGAGTAACGCTGAGGACAGTGAGGCACTACGCGTTATTGCGATGAAGGATCCAGTTACGAGCGATGTCTGGGCGCACCCTGTTGACTCGTTTTCGCAATATTTCGAGTAATTGGTGATAGTAGACTTGATTTACGGTTTCCCCCGGTGGAAGATATTCTTTATGGGCGATTCCATGGCTATCAAAAAAGTCAATAATCATCGTTTTCGCCTTCAACTTGCTCATGCCAGCTTTTTCGGGCGGGGAGGCGTGTTAAGACAACCATTGTGAGCTATGGCGTTTAGTTTCCGAGTCTTATTGAAAGAACCAGCTCTCATGGGTTGTAATAACTCGACCAAGCAGCGTGGGATCGTTTTGAATTTGGCGCAAAATCTTATCGCGCCGCGTTGCTCTTGATATCGTTTTTCCATTTTCGTGACGAGCCCCACGAAGACACGTTTACTCAACACGACACGGCAGGCGAACTAATCAAGCGATGGCAAATATAGCAATCGAGAGAGGAAGGCTGCCGAGAGAAGGGAAAGGGAATTTAAAGGTCGCAGGGTTACCACAATCGCGGCAAGATAATCATTCTCATTACTTTATTGTCACACCTCGTATATATGTACTTATCAAATATACATAAATGTATGTAGTACATATGCCGGCACATATTTACATAAATCTGTATGCATTTATGCCGTTAAAGTTGGTGACATTACGTTACATATAAGTCGGTGGGGTGAGTGGGATGCGTACAAGGAAATGACGAAATTTTTGCGATATTAACACATTTCCATGGCCAACATTACGTCAAAACCAAAATACAAAATGGGTTGGGCGAAGAAAACTTACATTTGTATGTATGCCCGTTGGGTAAAGAGGAAATGAACTCATAACTTCACTACTCAACAGTTTTTGGTAGTAATGCGGTCATTGTGCTCATACTCACAGGATCTTTGCGTTATTTTTGGTTTTTCTATTTTTTTTTGTTTCATGAAATTTGATATAGCTATTAGTATTTGTGTATATATATATGTGTATGTATAAAAACTTGCTCTCACCCTAACTCTAACAAACTTGTAATTTATTTGTTATGTAAATTTTGCACTAAAACACCGTAACACAAATAAACAACAAAATCAATGGACAAACCCTCTTTCACACACCCACAACCCACATAACCGCGGGCAACTAATCAATTGTACTAAATTTTGGTAATAACAGCGCTCACCGGGCTCGGATCAGGATAGTCCGCATGTTGGGTATCGAGAGCGTGCGCCTATCCCACCCAGTATATCGACGCAATCGATGAAGGTAAGTACAGTTGAGGTGTACACACATTCTCTACTAATTTCAATTCTTGAGTTGCTTTTCTTTTTGGAAATTATTTTGATATTTGAATACATTTTAATGATTCAATGGTAAGCAAATAATTGTATTTAAATTTAAATAATTTGAGTGTTTTGAGCTTCATTCATTTTAAATATTATACGTAGTTATTTTTTGCTATAAAACATTATTATACTTTTAATTTTTTAATTTAATTTTACTTTATGTTATTTTACACCTATTTTAATATATTTTAAATTATTATATATTATTTTATTTTTGTTTTTACTATGCTAAAATTTAATTTCATTTAAATAATTATTTAACTTATTTTATTTTACATAATTTTTATAATTTTCATGGAATTAATATTATTTTTTATTTTACTTTATCTTGTTTAATTTAATTATCCTTCATTTTATTTTCTTTTATTTTATTTCATTTTGTTTTATTTCGATATATTTTATCCTGTTTTATTGTAATTTATGTTGGTTTATTTTTATTGTTTTATTTTATTTTATTATATTTTTTCTTAATATTTTTTTTTATTTTTATTGTTTTAATTTAATATATTTTGTTTTATTTTATTTAAATTTATTTCACATTATTCTATATTATTTTATTTTTGATTTTATTTCATTCTAATTTATTTTTTGTTCATTTAAATAATAGTTAATCTTGTTATATTGTATAATATTTTTTTGGAAGTATTTTAATATTTTATTTTAAGTTTTTTTTTATTAATTTTATTTCATTTTAATTTATTTTATTTTATTTTACTTGAGATTAATTTATTTTACTTTGTTCTATTTCGGTTTATCTAATTTATTTTTTTTTTGCTTTATTGCATTTTATTTACTTCTATTTTGTTAAATTTTTTTATTTTATTTAATTTTAATTTTCTTTTATTTTTTTCTTTTATATTATTAAATTTCCTTTGAGCATATTTTTATTTTTTTAATTTTTAATCTGCTTGACATTATTTATATATTTTTTCATTTTTAAATAATTATTAATCTTATTAATAATTTAATTTCATTTTTCTCATTTTATATTTTTATAATATATTTTATTTTGTTTATATAAATCTATTTATTTTTTTATTTTATTTTATTTTATTTACTTGATCTTTTTATTTTATTTTAATTTGTTTTACATTATTCTGCATTGTTTTAACTTTACTTTAATTTTGTATCATTTAAGTAATAATTAATCTTGTTATATCGTGTGATTTTTGTTTAGAGTAATTAAGTTATTTATTTACAATTTTTTTATTAAATTTTATTTCATTTTAATTTAATTAACTTTAGTTTGTTTGTTTTTAAAATTTTTTTTGTTTTTTTTTTTACAATTTATTTTTTTGCTCTATTGTATTTTATTTACTTTTATGTTTAATTTATTTTATTTCATTTGACTATATATATTTTTTAATATTTAGTCTGCTGGATGTTTTTTATATATTTCTTCATTTTTAAATAATCGTTATAATTATTTATAATTTAATTTTTTTAATATTATATTTTCATAATTTATTTTATTTTGTTTTATTTTAATGTAAATATTTTATATTATTTCATTTAATTTTATTATATTTTATTTTATTTGAATTTACCTCATTTTATTTTAATTTATTTTAAATTATTTTATATTATTTTATTTTTAATTTCAAATGAATTTATTTATTTTCTTTTAAATGATTATTTATCTTGTTTTATTGTATGTTATTTTTTGGAAGGAATTTCTTTTTTTTGCCTTTTTTATTCAATTTTATTTAATCTTTATTTATTTTATTTTACTCGGTTTTATTTTGTTCTATTAAAATTTATCTTAAATATTATTTAATTTCAGTTTTTAATTTATTGTATTATAATGTATTTTTTTTAGATAATTGTTAAACTTATTTAATATTATATTTTATCTTGCATTTAATTTTTTTTCTAATTTTATATTTTTGTATTTTATTTTATTTCATTTCTCTGTGTTTTATTTTGTTTAATTCATTTAAATTTAATTTTATATTTTTTCTCTTTTTTACTTGTTTTTATAAATTTTATTTCATTTCTTTTTGTTTAAGTTTTTTAAATCTAATTTAATTTATTTTTTTTTTTTCTTTTTTTATTCTTATTTTATTTTTTCATATTAACGTATTTCATTTTTATATTACATACATTATATACATATTTTGTTTGTTTTTTTTCATTAATTTTTGCTGTTCTTTTATTTTCTTATTTTTTTTAATAATTTTCTATACATTTTTCAGTAGTATAACTTTATTTAATTTATACCCTCGTCAAACAAACGCTGCTATATCATTCTGCCTCTCTGCCCTTCTCTTTCTCTACTTGGCAGGAATACTATCAGTCTGACCGTCCGTCCTATCCTGCCCATTATCGCCACAGTCAAACCGATTTGACCGAATGGGAAGAACACCAACAGAACAATCAATTTGGCAGTACTGCAGCGTTGCATCACGCGGGTGGTCCACGTCGTGGTGGGGAAGTTAGCGACCGTTATGCATATAGAAATGGTAGTGCGCGTGAAAATGGTGGCGATTGGGAGGAAACAGAACGACCGCGTCCCAGGTGTGTACATGATGATTGATTGAATTTTTACGCTTGTTTGTTGTTCTATTTTACTGTTATACATTTGTATTGCATTTAGACGACCCGATGGACGTTATAGCGACTCGGCGAGCACCGTTTCAACAGCTGTACTTAATCATTATTCGGGTTATCATAGAAGGCCCATAAATCGGGTGAGTGTGAAAGCCATTGTTTACTATGCGATATTTATGCTTTGGAAAGAAAGATACTAAAAAGAAAAGTTTTTTGTAAAATTATAAGAAAAAATAAAAATATATATGTATATTTAATTAAACTGTTAAAATTTGCATATTTTCAGAGTTCAAATTTACTCTCCGCCACTCTATGCCTGGTGAAAGAGCTGGACTATCCCAGCTTGGAGGTGGTGGAGCATGCAGTGCGTTGTCGCATCGATGAGTTATCAGCAGATTGATGATGAATGCGCCGCATGCCATCCTATTGAGGGTTGCGGCGGCAACAATGAAGCGCACTGCGACTGCGGCGCGAACAAAGATGAAAAGGCGAACAACAACAAAAGCAAATAACGCAGAAAATACTAACACTAAAGAACTGAAAAAAAAACAATAGTTTGGATGGTTGAATAATAAAGGCAACAAGAATGTGGTGATTCACGAGCTGATGGTGGACACGACTCAAACAATTAGCTACGAATATTAATTTTATGTAACGGCAATTAATGGCAATTAATTATTGTAATTAGTAACAATTTTGGTTTGAAATTCTTCTCTCTAATTTTAAACTGTAACAAAATGATGAAATTAAAAAAATTAAGAAAATTATTAATTTAAAAAATTTTTTTTTAACACAACTAGCATGTACGACGGTGGTTTAGTGAATGAGAAGGAGTAATAAATTCATATTTTCTCTATAATTAAGGTGCAATGCTAATGAATAATGTTGATGGAATTAATAGGAAAAAATTGTTATGAAAAATGAGAGTTAAAGGCGAAACGAAAGCGAAGCTTTTTGTATGAAAAAATAAAAATTAATGGAAAAAATGCGAAATTTGAAACAGACTTGCCAATCGTACACAGAGACATACAAATAAACATAAATACATAGCATAAAATAAAAAATTTTATATACATAAATAAAAAAAAATATATATTATTTTAAATTAATAAATAAAAAAAAAAACTGAGAAAACTTTGCCAATGGAATTCAACGAAATTCGCAAAATAAACGCCGTAATAAAATAGCAAAGATGAAAAGCAACATTTACATAGTTACATATATGTGTGTATTGAAAATAGCAAATATATGCATATGTATGTGCAGATAAGCATTTGCTAACTGAAAATTATAATAAAAAATAGTAAATGTGTGTATTTTGATATTATACAATATAAACAAAGTAAATAAATAAAATAAATAAATTAAAAAACTAAATAAATATTTACACGCATACATACAAATTATCAAAAAGCAAAGCTCTCTATATAAAACAAGCAAAAAACTGTTGATATTATAAATTATATTTTTAATAAAGTTCATATTGCGAAATTGTATTATTTAATATTTTTTTTTTTGCTTAAATATGCTTATTATGTAACACAAAAGACACATACCTGCTACATATTTAAAGAAAATGTATATGTATAAACGCTTTGCTGTATTTTATTGTACTTAAAACAAAAATTTATTGTTGCAAACGCACATCACAAATATATTTATAACTAAAAAAAAACTATGTAACATACATATAAGCTCAGTTTCGTTTGAGATGTTCAAATCTCACGGTTATGCTGTTTTGTTTTCTTTACAAAAGACATTAAAAACTAATTTTTTTTTTTTACAAAATAAACTATTTAAGTTTTATGTAACGCATATGACCTCTTGCTAACGTCCTTTTTACGTTTAAATCCCGCTGTATGTATGTAACTGAAAAATAAACAAATATTTTTTTGTAAACTAACTGGCTTCCGAAGGGTTTTGAAAACGTAAGAAAAAAAAACAAAAAGAAAATTTTCAATAAAAATGAACAATTTATTAACATAATAACACAGTTGTTTTATAATTTCGTTTTCAAACTCATTAAAGTGTTTTTAAATTGCCAGTCTCTGTGGCTGTAATATATCTGTATGTAAATACATTTATAAAAATTTATAAAATAGCAATCTATTGACATTCAGCTTATAACCAACTTACTCCTTACTATGAAGCAGGAAATGATGACTTTATTCTTTTTATTCTGCTTTTAATAATTGCGTGGCTTACACCTAGGCGAACTGAGGGTCATTAGTACAAATATGAGCGGATTAACAAAAGTTCGGCCAGTTGGTGACTTTCAATTTTTTTTTGTTAAATCTAAAAATACCAAAACCTTTGAAGTTACTTAATTAGTCTTCCTTTCAAATTTTAGAACGATCGGCCGAAATGGAGACGAGAAAAAGGAAAAAAACTGAGGATAGGTCCGATGAAATTCCGCCACCAACGCAAACAGCAACTCGCCATGTGATTCTCTTTGGGTTTCGGCCTAATTTACAGCCAATAGAAATTTTCAGTGAATGTCGATTGCACTGGCTTTCAAGACTATAACTCAGTGGTTCCAAAGATTCCATACCGTAAAGAACAGGAGCCCAGAAGGCCGACCAAAATCATTCACTGATTACGTCACTGTAGTTCTGAGGAAGTCCAAAATTGACGAAAGACCACCATTGAGACAAAAAAAGGTTGCTAATGAATTCGACTTAAATGCCACGGTTGTACCGCGAATGTTAAGTCATCATATGGGATACACGAAAGAAGCTCGATGCGTACCACGAATTTTAAATGAGATCCAAAAAGAGGCTCGAGTGCATTTTTTCCAATTTTTCCTAAACATACTCGAGAATGGTCAGTCTAGCAACTTTAGTAAAGTCATTACTGGTGCCGAATCTTGGTTCTTCAAGTACAATCCAGAAACCAAACAGCAGTGAATGGTATGGAGCGCAACAGCAGCAAGCCCTCGCGTAAAATCTAAGCAAGAAAAATCAGCAGCAAAAGTAATGATATCAGTTTACTTCATCCGATCCAAAATTGTAGCTGCTCTTCCACTGGAAAAGTCTCAGACGGTAACTGCAAAATGATACAACGAAGAGTGCTTACCAAAAGCTTTTAAAAATTTGTTGGAGCACATGAAGAATGAGGATTTGTGGTGCTACTTTTTACATCATGACAACGCGCCATCCCACACTGCTGAAATAACGAGTAATTTTATTGCGATATCTGGTACCGAAGAAATATGTTCAGCGCCAGATACAGCACCTTGTGATCTCTGGTTCTTTCCAAATATTAAAAAAAATATAAAAGGAAAGGTCTTTAATAGTAACCAGGAGATAATTAATGCGGTTAATACTGAACTTAAAACGCAAGATTTCGAAGTCTGTTTTCAGAAGTGGGGATCTAATGCCTGGGTCTAATGGGGCTTAAGAAATGCCTTGAAATCAATGGCAAAAAAAAAGAAGAATAATAATGTACTTTCTGTGTGGTGAGTTAGCAAGGATGAAGTGTAGAAATTATCGAAAGAAGAAACAAAAGAATCAAAAATGCCCGGGTAGACCAATCACAGAGTGGGTTGCTCCTACAACTACACCTCTTTGATAATATGCCAAAAATTAACAGAGTTGAATTGGGAACGGTTACCCCATCCTTTCGGTACTCTTGACTTCGGACCATTAGATTACGTAATGTTTTGTTGCTTTCAAAATCACTCTCTTATTTAAGTGTTTGATTCGTTCAATCTTTTAAAACTGAGTTTGACCAGTTTTTCACATTTGAAAACCAAGGCTCCTTCATGATGTAAGCCTTTAACATACGGAATGATGGCAAAAGGTCCTTCAACAAAATGACAATTTTGTCATTGGTTACTGTTAGTTGTACATGTACTCGTATGTCAATGTCACCATCTGCCGCACAGTTCATCGTTCCATCGGTTGCGGAATGCGATGACTGCTTGTTTAATGACAAGCTTAGCGCTGGGCTCTTACTTACTCAGTTAGATGAAAGCAAATTTCACTGCGCTGCTGTTGAGGATAATGATGCCAATATTATTGACTCTTCAATAGGAGATTGCACCTTCTCTATTCAGCTCTGCCGCTTACACGATTCCTTATCACCTTGTCTGAAGCCTCGTTTGGTATCGAACGGCACGTCCTTCCCGATCCTGATGGAGCTTTAGGTGTTGCTTAACGGCAGTATACACAGTCATATAAGTTTTGCGGGGCTACCAAATTCAGACATAGCGGCGTAGAGGCAACTCCTTCTCGTGCCGTCGAAGGCTGCTTTAAATCGACGAAAATTTGGTGGGTGACGATCGATTTTTTTTTTTAATTGTTAATTGTAAACCTCCTTTCTTATTCAAAGAATATTAAATTGTTTTTTTAAATAATTAATCATTTAGAAAAATACAAAGTGTATGAATTAATAATTTAAAACTATAATTTTTCATTTGACCTACCCTGTGTGCATTTTCCAGAAAAGGTTCTTTCCTGAGCTTTTATAGGAAGTATTCATTTTTTATAGCATATTACCATTTCCATATACACATAACCCAGTGGAAGACATTGCCCATTGGATTCTATAAAAGTTACTTCATTTAATGGAATTTGTGGGTATTTCTTTTGCCTTATATTCATGTATGTATGTATTTGTAGGCGTCCGTCAGTAATCCGTCGAAAATTTTTCGGAAAGATAATTCATCCAGTGTGAAAAAATCCCATGCAAACCTGTCATGAAAGCAAATTTTCCGATGGTGCGGTATGCTGTTAAAGCTGAAAATTTGATATTTTTTTATTTATACTGGGTCCGCCATTTGGATGCATCCTATTTCAACATTGAATAACTCCGCCGATTTTCACAAATGAACAAGATTTTTTTACAATATTCTATGCCATTTATTTCAACCAGGTTTAGAATACAACGTCGATTAAATGACCACCAATATTTGATACACAAAAAGCAGCTCTTTTGCGGGCATTCTGCAGAACATTGGCCAGTTTTTCGGGTGATATCGCAGCTATTTCAGCTCGTATATTTGCTTTGAGTTCGTCAATGTTCTTCGGCTTGCTGGCATAAACTTTACTTACTTAAATAAGTATCCCCACAGAAAAAAGTCCATCCGTTTGACATGACCTAGTCAGTGATGACGCTGTTTCCTACTAATTCCAATTCTCCCATAAACACGCGCTGTTTTCACAACTGAACGATCGTTTTCAATGTAAAGCGCTACGATTTCAGCGCGTTCTTTCGGTTTGTATCGACTCATACAATAAAATGGCACTGAATGACGTTTCAAAATTATGTTCATCTGTCAAAATCGGCTGTAAAATGGTGGAGCTATTCAATGTTGAAATAGAATATATCTAGATGGCGCACCCTGTATAAAAGTCGTCTGTAGTAACCGATTGGTTAGCATTGGTTGATATAATGTGTTGGGTTCACTGGCCAGATCAATAGTCAAAATTATAAAAAAAAAACTTTTTCTACATATGGTCACTCCACGGGATGGCATACTGAGCCTACTCATTGACTTAGGTGCGGTCGCTTGCGATAAAATCCTCAATTTTAATCTCTCGGCCAGCCAATCAACTATGTTCAGCCCAAGTGAGGTATTGTCAAACCACAAAAAATGTATTTCTGAAATGAAGTAAAAAGCTCCTAATCAAAAGCATAGAAAACTTAGCAAATCACTAATTTCGTTGGAAAAACCGTAGAACACGCGGTCGCTATGGCTTGCGTCTCATTCAGTCGACACTGCACCTCATGCCTACATCTTATAAGAGAGTATGAGAGGTAGTCACTGTGCGTCGTTGAAGTCATCGTAATGAACGGCTTTTTTTTTTGGAATCCAAATAAGTAGACTAGCGAAACGTTCCCTTCATTTGCTCAGTGCGAGTTTTGTTGGAATGCAATAATCTCCAGAACTGGAAGTTTTGCAACCGTTTGTCTTTGCATCTACTGCTCTAGAAGTCGACTAAGGAAATTTTAGCTATATAAGCAATAAGTGTCATTATCTCCCATAGAAACCTTTGACAGATCTTCAAATTTTTGGTATTTAAAGTGAAAGAGCCTAGAGTATCTTTCGAAAATTCGGCTTGTTCTGAAAAACAATGTTTTTTCCTCAAATTCGACACTAATTAAGAAGTTCACGTTGACGGGAATTTAGGAGTTGAACACATCATAGTGGACTGATATTTTCAAGTTTAGTGAAAATACGAGCTCCTGAAACACTTCCTAACGGAGTATATTTATTTCGAGTGGGTATTCATTTAAATGCTCCGCTTTAGCTCCGCTAACTGGATGGCCGCCGGAAGATCTAAAAATTTATCAAATAGTTCAACCCTTCAATGTCCTGTACGGAAATTACACCTTCACTTCAAGTTACGAAACGCCATGTTGGATTACATAAAGGAAGGAAGAGCCGCGGAAGATCTAAAAAATTAGCAAGTACTTTGTGGGCAACCCTCCAAGTCTTTATAAGGAAATTACGCTTTTACACTGATTTGCCTTTTGTCCTATAATCCGTAGAATAAAATGAAAAGACTTTTAATTTTAGTTTTTGTTTAATAATTTATGTATGTTAATTTATTATTGTTTTTTATTAATTATTATTTATTTAATGGCTGTTATGTAAGTATGTATAATGTGTCTCTCTACATGGAATTTGCGTAAGTAATTGGTATGTTGATGACAATTACATATATATTATGTACATACATATATTCTACATATGCACTACTTCGTCATACATACATACGTAGTGTAAGGAGACAACTAACAAATAATGAATTCAGTTTTTTCTCTTTGTTTTTTTTTTTTTTTTTGCTTTTAGATGTTGTTTATTACTAACATTTGTTGGCCTTGAAATACATACAAGAAATACATAAACAATAAAATGCAATCTAATTTTAATTTTTTTAATCTGTTTTTACAGTAAATATATATATTTTACTCTCACTTTATTTTTCATAATAATTGTTGCAATTATGTATATAAGTGATTATATATTGATAAAACACACTTACATAGATTTGAATTTGCTTACGATATACATATGTATATTTATTATATAATATATATATTTGTAAGTATATATAATGTATTTAACAAACATTTCAATTGCAATTTAAATTTTATTTTTTGGCTTCCAATATTTCCATTTGCAATATATTTCATTACCAATGCATACAGAAATACAAATATCTGTATATGTAACTCATAGATAATTCTAAACTTCCATTGCATTTCAATTAAAAAAAAAAAATAAGTGTGTGCAGTGTGATGTGCAATGCAAAAATATATTAACAAAAAAAAAAAAAAAATTAGGTAACAAAAAATTAATAAGTTTTTAATTCACAACAATTTAATATATTTAAAACCAGTTTTTTTTTATCTTATGCGTATATATTTGATACACTAAAATGATTAAACTAGTGCTCTTCTTAATAAATTACAAAAAAAAATATTAAAAAATGTATTATAATATAATTTAAATATTTCACATATATACTACTAATGAACTTATATTCAGTTTCAGAGTAGCTTATACTGTATAATATAATAATATTGTTATTTTTTTTTAATTATTTATTAATTGACACATTTTTGAGTTATGCCTCTTCTACAGAAATAATACGTTGCCTTACTAAGCAACAAAAAATCATAAGCGTATACATAACAGTCGCACAATATTTTTTTTTAAATTTTCCTAAAACTTACTAAACTTCTCAAACTGAAGAAAAATCGCTTTGTACTATGTTAAAACAGTGAGTACATTTAACAAGCGCAGGTAACTTTAATTATTCTCATATGTAGGTACATAACGTTTTGCATAAGCATTATATAAACATATATTTCTATATACATAACTCGCTCTGACTTCTGTTTTTCATCTCTTCTTTTTTTTTAATTATAATAAAAATTGTTTTAAAATTAAATTATATTAAATGTATAATTAAAATCAAATAGAACAAAAAAAAATAAAATATATAATAATGGAAAAATATAAAAATATATTAATTAAAAAATAAATAAAATAAAATAAAAAACAATAAAACAAACAAAAATAAAATAAAATAAAATAAAATAAAATAAAATAAAATAAAATAAAATAAAATAAAATAAAATAAAATAAAATAAAATAAAATAAAATAAAACACAATACAATAAAATGAAGGAAAATAATATACAATAAACAGTAGGAAAATAAAATAAAACAAAATTCAAATAAAATAAGATGTATAAAATAAAATAAAAAAAAATTAAAAATAAATAAAAGAATATTAAATTAAAACAAAACAAATATATTAAATAAAATTGTGTTAAACAGAATAAAATAGAACAAAATAATGCAATATAAATAATATATAATAAAATAAAATAAATAAAATAATGAAAAGTTAGTCAAAATAAAATAAAATAAAATAAAATAAAGTAATTAAATTTAAAATAAAACAAGATGATCAAAATAAATTAAAAAACGAAATTAAAAAAGGTAAACTAAATTAGAATAAAATAAATTTAAAAAATGATAACAAAATATATTAAATTAAATAAAATTAAACAATATAAATAAAATGAAATAGTGTTGAATAAAAAAATATAATAAACTAAATTGAATTAAAATAAAATAAAATAAAATGCAATAATATGAAATAGAATGAAATGAAGTAAACGAATATTATTAAATTAAACAAAATAAAATAAAGTAACGGATTAAAATATATGGAACTATTTTTGAATTCAAATCTGTTCTATTAGCGAAAAGCAGCCATAATTCGCCAAAGATATGCAAATCTAAGCAAAATTATTTTCGTGTTTAATTGTAAATGTAAAATTAAAAAAAATAAAATAAACATTTTGAAAAATCTGAAAAAATTATTTTATGCTAATTTCAAAATAAAATTGCCTTCGCATACATATATGTATAATAAAATAATTAACAAAATAATCAATGAATTTTTAAAAGATTCTCACAGGAACGTACAAAACATGCCCAAAAGTAGGTGGGTGTCAAACAATTTTAACAGTTATAAAAACCAAAATAGGCGGTGCTATAAAACTAATAAATATAATTTAAAAATGTTAAGCAATACTGACTGACATTTTCAAAAAAATACGAGTATATTAAAATTGAATTATTTGATATGTTAATTTTTTTTAATTCAAATTTCAAGAATTTTTTTACACGCAGAGAATGAATTTAAAACTAAAATTATTTAAAAGGGTTTTTAATTTTTTTTTATGTTTATATTTATATTTTATGTTTACATAAATGTATGTTTTTATCATAAGTGTACACATTTTTTAACTTTCTACCCAGTGTAAAAAATTTTATAAATGTTAAATTAAAAAAAAAAAAACTAAGTTAAACATGTTAATAAAGGTTTGTAATATATATTATTTTAATTTAATAGTTTTAGAATTTGTGATTTAATATAAAAGAAACGAATGTAATATTTTATCCTTAATTTATTTAAAGACTTTGAAAAAATAAATAAATTTATATTTGTAAAATGTAATGAAAAATTATTTTTTTTTTCAGTTAATTTTCTAGTTAATTAAAAAAAAAATACATTATTAACAAAAAAAAAAATTTAAATATATTCCAATATTGTAGAACATTTTTTAATTAATATTTTGGTTGAATGGACGAAATAGTTTTTTGTTATTGTTTTTGAATGTAAACACTAAATTTATAAGCAAATTATTGTTTAGTAAATGTTTCTTATGTGTTTTTGTTTTTATTTCCTCGTAGCAATTAATTGTTAAATCAAAATTTTCAAGCTACTCTGCTAATCAACTGCAGGCATCTTCCTGAAGGGTGGAGCTAGTGGTGCTGCTGGTGGGTGATTATGGTGCATTCATTCGATTTTTGGTGCTTTGGTGCTTTGGTGCCTTAATGCTGGTGCATATTTAATATACAGTGACTCAATAAATATAATATTTTTAATTATATATAAGTACAATATGTGCATGTATTGTTTGTTTTTTTTTTATTTTTAATTTAGCATTTTTTATTTGTGTTTTTGTTTTTTCCTTTCCTGCAAATAACAGTCCAAAGCGTATTCGTTTAATTTACTCAACTTGCCATTAGCTGAGTGTAGGGTGTGTCTTTTCTGCTTCATGAATTTAACATTTCAAATATTTATATGTATGTATGTAAGTATAATTTAAAATACACATAAGAGTATTTTTTTTGCGAATATAATTACATACAAACCGCTTGTTGATTTAAATAATTATTAATTTACTACTTTTCTGCGGGCTTAAAGCGCACACATTATACACATATACAGCTCTCACTACATACGTGTATGTATATGTGCTTAGCATCTGTGTGGCTTTTTCACCGTTCGCCTAGCTGTAATTGACAACGAGGTTGGGGATTTTATCTTTATTTCTTAGACACATATCCTCCTTAGCTTTCATTTAGCACTTCCCATTTATTTATATACTCTTAAGTATTCAACATACATATTTATTGGAATTTCTATTTTTAATTGTAAATATATTTATGTATCTTTCAGTATGCATGTGTGTATATATAACATTAAATATAATTTTGTATGTATGTATGCATGTGATTTAGGACATACTACATACATACGTACATATATATGTATAAGGAAAGAAACAGTGCATAAAGTCTCAGGCATAGAATAACAACAACAAGTCGAAAACAGTTATATAATTTAACAATGTTTACAGCATGATTATATGTATGTATGTATGGGAATATGCAGTTAGTTATGATTGCAACTAATTACATACATATGTACACATAATGAATTTACTATATATGTATTTATACAGTTATACACGTACATATGTACATACGTACTTCTGTGTAATGAGAATGTATGCGAATAACATTTTTTTTTTTTAAATTTTGGTCTTTGATATGCTTTTACCTTAAAGATAGTTCTTGGTCGATATAGATTTTTTGCTAAATAATAATTTCTAATACATATGTATGTATATATATAATATATATATATATGTATATATATTCAGTTTTTTTACTAATTTCTCTATAATCAGTTTTTGTTTTGAGTTTTCGTTAATTGAACTAATTCTCCGCCTTTGCAGCTCTCTGTCTCTGCCATTGCGGCCGCTGTAAGTTTCTTCCATTTTTCTATACTTAACTCTTGTTTTTTTTTTTGGTAAAGTTAAGTTTAACTTCAGAGTTTATGACTCAAATTTACAATTCGCTCAGTTCGTTTACAAATCATCGCCTAATCGATGTATTTCATCTAACATAAAATCAACATCCTGTTCGGTCACTGCAGCTGAGGAGATAATCGAACGGAAGAAGTTTGGTCGTCGATCGTCAGGTTGATAGCCAACCATCAGTGAACCCTTCTGCATCATGCGACCCTTGATGATGGGGCAGATCTGTAGGAAAAGTTACGAATTTATATTTTAAAAATACATATATACATATACAATATATGGTGGTTGAAATATTTTTTTTTATTTTTATTAAAATTAAGACGAAATGTAAATCAACTATGAAGCAACCGCATATTAAACTCAACCCAATACTGGCACGAGGTGACCACACCACACCCGTTTTCTGCTATGAAAATACACTCTCAGCAAAAATTCCAGAGAGTAACAATTGGGGAAAATGTAACAGGTCTACAATAGATCAAAGATTTTTAGCCAACTTTATCGCCGGCTCTGATTCTTCTCTGACCCTATGGTAGAGTAGGTTGTGGACTTTACGCTGAACCTCTTGCTATTGATATAAGCAAGAGACCTCGCGGCCAATGGTGTGGTTTTGAAACGAAACTTAACGCGTTAATGGAAGCCGCTCCATGGTTGCTCAACTCCAAAACGATAACCCAATCTAACTATTACAGTATTTTCATACATTCAGAATTTATGGCACTCCAATGCAGTCGAATCAACTCGAAGTTGGCATTATCACGTAGAGAAATCTTAAACATACTCTCGACTATTTGCGGCGCAACCTTGGTTTGGAGCCCTGGTCATGAGGACAAGCCAAGAAACTGCGTAGCCGACGAGCTGGTCAGAAGAGGGCAGCCATAACTACGACATATTCTGCATATGGCATGGGAATTCCGCTTTTCTTGGTGTTGTTTCTATTTTTATTAGCTTTCACCAGAAGAACCAACAGGAGATTACAGAGTAAATCTGACCATTAGTCGAAATGAACAGAACAAAGTCTTTACTGCTTCCAATAAGGACCTGTATAAGTATAAAAAAGCGCGTAATCACTGCGCACTGTCTTATTATTACAGGAATTCATGTTAGAAGAATGGGCTGCTTCTCGAACGACTTATGCCGCAGCTTGAGGGACAAAGGTGAGACGTAAACGGCGAAACATTACCTCTGCTACTAACCGCCTCTTGGCGCGGTTCGTTATCGTTTTGTCGGAAATATCTTATCGATTGCCCTGCAGAGCTTGCATCTGTAGGTATTATTAATCTCATGGACTTCATAAGACACACCAAGTGGCTTGGCCATCTGGAAAGATGAGGGGAATTGCCTTCACTGGACCAACATATCATAACTAAGTGCGCTTGATCAGGGTTCCGTGGCCGAACAACCTGGTTAACTAACCATCTAACTAGGCAATTAAATAATTAAATTAAAAATTTCTATTGCATTATTTTTGGGATCCCAAAAATTTTACGTAAATTTCTTCTATTAGAGATGAAGAATATTACGTGTGGAGAAACTTCTTTTAAATGTTGCGGAGGCAGCCGAAAGGCTCTCAGAGCAACTGTTGGTATTTTTATTAGGGAGTGATAACCATGTGCTTGATGATGGCTCTGTAAATGAACTCAAACTCAACCCAGAATTGGCAACGACGGAAGTACTGGGCTTACGACTTGTTCCAGAGTAATTGTCTCCGCTTTTATGGACCAGTTTGATAAATAGAGAACTTTAAGGCGGTATGTTATGCGGAAGATCGTGTTATTAAATTTTCTGGTATACATCCCAACCGAATTATCACCTAACCTTTGAAATCACAGCTGATTAGATTGGGTGACAAGAACTTTCTTTAAAACCGTTAAACAAGGTATCTTCACACTCTATGACTACAACTCTGTATTTCAAGCAGAGAAGTCCAAATTTGCAAAATTATGCAAAGGGACAATTAATACACTATCGCGGAAAAATCCAGTGAATATCACTTGGATCCCAGGCCACACGGATGTAAAAGGCAATGAAAAGGCGTATGACTTAGTACGTGCTGGCGCCGCTGACGTTGTAGTCACCTTCGACCTTTCAGCACCCATAAATGTTGTCTAAAGCTGTGGACCATAAAGAAACACTGCCATCGTGGCAAGTAACATCAAATTATTACGGGCACTGTGGATTGGAGATTAGTCAAAACTATTAGTTACATTAAGCAAAAGAGAACTTAATATTTTTGTGGGTGTCGTGGAATGGCTGAGTGCATAGAAGATGACGAGTTCCTGGAGTCCTACCTTTGGGAATGTGTCTCGTATGCCTTTTCAAATCGCCCCATTGCACCCAAAAAGGCACGCATGGCATTATTTTCAATACCAACTATTTATTATTCGAGCTCCTATTCGAAGGCGATTCCTTACCTTATACTATACTCAATATGAAGTGTTGACATACGATTTTGAGTTATCAAGTTTTCAATATTTTTCGCTTTTATTCAAGTGCAAACATGGTACTGGATATCAGGAATATCATTGAAAATTTCAAAGCTCAAAAAGAAAACGATAGATGACCAATCCTATCCACCGATGTCTGCTGTACTCTCTCATTTCGATCGGTCGATATGTTTTGCTTCTCCAACCTCTCAAAAACTACCTAACTTGGATTTATTGAATTTTGGGTGCTGTCGATCTATCGTAGAAACTATAAAGCAGCGAAACTCCTTGCTGCTCCCGGAATGAAGCGCTTTTCAGCCAAGCACCAAGTGGTTTGCGTCTTGATGTTTTTCCAAGAAATAGGCGGTCCCACAGTTTATTCAAAGCCAACTTTGAACGACTGATGTATTTTAATGACGAACTTTGTATTTCATTTCAGAAATATACCCGGAAGGGTCGTCACTCTCGCCGCTACGATTAAATAAAGTATAGTATATAGTTTCTTCGGCTTTGTGGCCGAAATTCTCTTGATTTTATTTCAATCCCATTTCTTAAGTCAAACGGCTGATGGGTCTTTATTGGTGGCTTTTAACTTTATGCCAGAGAGAAGATTCGAAGGATCTGTCATTTTCTGAAGAGGGCGACTGGATGGAGAAAAAAGGCCTTTCTATAATTTTGGATGTTTGTTTATGCCGTACGAACCTTCCTCGCCTCTCGATCCCGATCTTATAGCAAAGATTGCGTCAAATTAAGCGATAATTATATTTTAAATTTTGAAGGTATTAACCTCTTTTCTTCGATTCGTGCACCGTCCATCGTGAATATCATCCTCACCAGTTTTCACTCTTTTGAGAAAATATCCCATTAAACTCAATTCTCCTCGGAAAGCACTGTTTTACTATCTCGCTGAGTTTGCTTCAGCAAAAATTACCTGTTTTGTTGCGGAGATAGGAATCTCAGAGCGGTTTCAAAAAGAGCTTATAGGCCTAATCCAGTTAGCTCAACTGAAATCAAACACAATTTGAGACCACATATTCTAGGGAAACCAGAAGTCTCGCGCTTTGGAGTTTTTCTATATGAGATGAGTTCTAGACGGGACACCCAAATTAAAAAGTGGATGGAGGAAACACTCGTCTCATTGCAGCTCGTCTTCAAAAAGATAATTGTGGTCCAAACTAGTCCGGAGCTGTGCCTTGCTGGAACTACTCGTATATATTGTACAAGAAATGAGTGGAAATTTCATTTCACCTTTTTAACTCCACTTTTCAATCGACTTGAATAAAAAATTTACCATTAACTCTTATGTGTTGTAAAACTTCAGAGTCCGGACTCATAATTATCGACGATTTCGAAACCCCAGTAATAAACATCTGCATAGTAAATTTCTCTTTCGCTTTCTTACTTACCTTAGCCAGTTCAGTTTCCTTCTTCTTATCATGTGGCACACCGCGTAAACGTTTTGGTATATACCAGAAGCTGACGTTAACCAACTCAGGCTCGAGTATCAGATGGAAACGATCAGACTGTTCTCGTATACGTTTCACTTGATATTCGGCAAGTTGCATTAAACGATCCTGCTGACGTTCGAAACCCTCATTGCCCTTGGAACGCCACTGCAGCCACAACTTGAAGATGTCGTTATGTCGACCACATTGAATGACCTTGTCACCGGTGTCATAGCTGATGTCATATTGCTTGTCGGTCATGAAGAGATATTCAGCTGACATTTGATTACAGCTAATCAAAAGACCCTGCGGGCGAGAATCAATAAAAGAGTATAGATAGAGTTGTGGATGGGAGAGCATTAAGTGTGTTGTTTGTGCAAATACAAAGAGGAAAGAGATTGAAAATGTTAGAGCTCAGTGGGACAACATGGTGTTGGTGGCAGTGTGCCTAAAAGCACTTGAGTATTTGAATGTGTGTATTTGAGTGTGTGTGTGTGCGTGTGATGTGAATTCAATGCGGGTTTTCACAGCAGATTTAGTTCTCACGCATTTAATGCGCTTTTCATGTTGATGCGACACTTCTTGTTGTAATTGTAATTGTAATCCTAAAACTCTAGAATGTCAGACTATTTACTTTGGGGATTAGAAAAATCTTATGGTGGCTGGCTATAGGGGCATCAATCGATTTCTTAATAGAAAATATATAAATTTTAAAGTAAACTGAAAATTAATTAAAAATTTTTGAGTGAACTTTTGTTGGTATATTTTTTGTGCCATTAAATTGTCTGGTTCGCTTAACAACCACACAACGCGTTACAATTGTTAAGGCCTACGATAGAAATGTTGAATGAAAGGTGGGCAAGTTTCGTGCTTCAAGAAGAGATTATGGGCCAAAGAATTTTGAAGAGACTGCATCGTTTACAGCCATACTGTGAGTTAAAGTGTAGCCGAAGACTCATATTTTGCACTTGACGCTTTGTAATCCCTGAAGCGGAAGCCGGTCGAGCTCATCATCCAATTTGTGGTATGCCGTTTGATTTTATTCACAAATGGAGGAACCTCCAGTGTAAATAAAGCCGCCTGGTAAACGGTTTTTTTTTTGTTTTTGAGAATCGAAGCTCATCCTATAATTTTCATGTCAGAAATACACTCGGAGGGCTGAACACTCCCTGCCGTTGGGCGAACCCAACTAGAAAAATTAATTTCGGATGTTGGTCGAACCAGAACTCGAGCCCTGACCTTCTCCAGCAGTACGCAAAGCTAAGAAAAAAACTCAGTTCATGCAGCCGTTAACTTCATCCATATAAAGTTCAGCACACACAACAACTGAAACCAGCTGACCATTCACAATGCTGTACATTAGTTGATTGAGTGCTTGAAGAACAAGCAGGGGGCGGCGATGTTTCGAACAAAATTTTCTTCAGCGACGAGTCATAATTCTCACTAGGTTGATACTCAAATAAGCTCATTGGAGGTTCCAAGAATCCTGAAAAAGTTGAAAAGGGACCATTACAGAAAACACAACGTTCCGTCTGGTACGCTCTATGGTCTGGAGATGCGATTGGACCTAACTTCTTTGAAAAACAACGCCGAGACTGTCATTGTTAATTCGAAATGTTATGGTCGTATGATAATGGTCTTGTTTGGTCTGTAGCGAAAGACATGACTTGAACAGTATATAGTTTCAAGAAGAAGCACGAGCGTAAATGGTTTTATTGCGAGAGAAATTTCGCGGCTGCGTAATCTCTTAGCTTGCCGATGCCAATTGGTCACCGAGAACGTGAACTTTGAACTTTTTATGTTGGACTACGTGAGAGATCGTGTTAATGCGGTTAAGCCTTTGATTCTTGAGCACTTGAAAACCAATATTGGCCCAGCTATGGCTGAGAAGCCGCCCAAAATGTGGCAAATAGTGGTCGATCGAAAATTACCTCGAACGGATCGAAGTTTGCAAAAACTCGCGAGGTGGTCTTTTGAATGATGGAGATAGTATTTCTCATACATATAGGTCTAAGGTTCAAGCTTTATAATTAAAATAGAATTTCATGAGAAAGAAAATGTCTTAAATGCATTAAATTTGGATTATCGTCGAAGCCGCAAAATGGATAACCCCATACATTAATATATTAGGAAGTTTTGTATATGTACATATATATACATATATATATATATAAATGGAGCTTTGTAACCGCTGAAGCGATATTCCGCTGAGCTCCTCCTTCAATTTGTTGTTTTGCGTCTTGATATTTTTCAAACAAAAATAAACGAGGGATTAACAAAAGTTCGGTCAGTTGGTGGCTTTCAATTTTTTTTTTGTTAACTCTAAAAATACCAAGTCCATTGAAATACTTTTTAGTCTTTCTTTCAAATTTTAGAACGATCGGTTAAAATTGATATGAGAACAAAAGAGAGCTGTGGATAGGTCAGACGAAATTCCACCATCAACGCAAACAGAAATTCGCCATGTGATTCTTGTCGAGTTTCGGCGTAATTTACAGCCAATAGAAATAATTTGTGAATGTCAAATTCCATAGGGAACGATTGCACCGTCTTTAAAGACTATTTCCAAGTGGTTCCAAAGATTACAGACAGGACGTTTTTCCGTTGAGGACGAGCGCCAAGAAGGTTGGCCAAAATCTTTTATAGATGACGTCACAGTAGCTATGGCGAAGTCCAAAATTGACGGAAGCCTACCATTGAGACAAAAAATGATTGCTAATGAATTAGACTTAAAGGCCACGGTTGTACCGCGAATGTTAAGTAACCTCTGAATTTTCAATCAGATCCAAAAAGAGGCTCGAGTGCATTTTGCTCAATTTTTCCTAAACAAATTCGAAAATGGTCAGTCTAGCAACCTTAATAAAGTCATTACTGGTGCCGAATCTTAGTTCTATAAGTACGATCCAGAAACCAAACAGCAGTCCGTAGTATGGAGCGCAACAGGAGCAAATCCACCCGTAAAATCTAAGCAACAAAAATCAGCAGCAAAAGTAATGACACCACTTTACTTGACCCGGTCTAAAGCCGTAGCTGCTCTTCCACTGGAAAAGGGTCAGACGGTAACTGCAAAATGGTACACCGAAGAGTGTTTACCAAAAGTTTTTAAAAATTTGTTGGAGCACAGGAAGAATGAGGATTTGTGGTGCTACTTTTGACATCATGACAACGCGCCATCTGCAGGCAACACTGCTGAAATAACGAGTAATTTTATTGCGATATCTGGGACCGAAGGAATACGTCCAGTGCCTTATTCCTCGGATATAGCGATTTGTGGTTCTTTCCAAGAATTAAAAAAAAGATGTAAGGAAAAGGTCTTTAATAGCAACGAGGAGATAATTAATGCGATTTATGCTGAAATTTTTAGGTTTAAAAGGAGGGCTTTGAAGACTGTTTTCAGAAGTGGGGATCTATAGGCTAAATCAATGGCGATAAGGAGAGAAGATAAAAAGGTCAAAGATTACAAGAGAAATTTTTTATATTTTTTTTTCTGGTCAACTTTTCGAACATTTGTTAATCCCCTCGTATATATAACTGTATACTCGTATGTACCAAATCCGAAATAGTTATTCTCAATATTTCATCAGACGCACATTTATTTCGACACAATAAGTCAAGTTAAAATTTTAATTAAAATTCCTCAACTGACAGTTTGGCTTTTGCCGGCACAACCGGAGCAATAACTTTCAAACACAACTGTGACCGATTCGTTCAACATATTGCAGGAATGACTTTTGTTGCAAGTGTAGCCGTTGTTGTTTATTGTTGAAAATCACCCTCAAGGTTTTCATGGTATTTCTTGTGGGGAAAATATGTATGTACACGTATGTATACGATGAATGTAATTTGCTTTGCACAGAAATTTGGAGAATTTTTGAAAATTCAACTATGTGAAAAGTACAAATCATGTTGAAATTGAAAAGTAAATAGAGAGAGAGAGAGAAGAGTTGGTATGAAAAATTTTAGAGGGTTTTTGCATTACTTTTTTATAAATTTACATAAGCTAACAAATTCAACTCAACTCCTGGACCCGAGCAGATTAGAACGTATCTTAACAATATTTGATAGGCTAAATGTGAATATTCAAGGAGTAACACCACTGTAGACTGACAAAAAGCATGCTTGATTGGCACAGAAAAGCTGCAGGACCTTCAACGGTCCAGGCGAATACATTAATTTGCTAAAAAAAACAACAATGCTACTCATACTAGAAACACAATGAAGAGTATAGCAGTGTAGCTTCGTCGGATATAGTGTGTCTGGCAGTTCCGATCGGTTAGCCAGTTCAACCTAACTTAACCTTTGTAGATATTAAAAACAAGAAAAGATTTTTTGATTGGCCTAAAAGTGTTTTGAACCTTTTAGTATAAAGAACAAGAGGGATTAAAATTGTGCGAAATTGATTTCATTGAAAATTTGAACCCTTTCATCGAGCGCTTTGCAACGATTACGTAATCTCAAACGAACGTTTTATCAAAACAATATATAATTGGCGCATTGTAACCGCTAAAGCGATTTTTCGGCAGAGCTCCTCCTCCAATTTGTGGTTTTGCGTCTTGATGTTTTTCCAAGAAATGGAGGAACCTACAGGTTGTACTAAGCCGCCTCCGAACTACTGATGATTTTTTTACGAGGAGCCTTTATTTTATGTCCGAATTGGAGAGGTGGATGTACCCTGCTGAGGGGCAGCCGTAATTAGAAAAGACTAAAAACTTCGCAAATTACTGTAATTGTGCTCCATTTCCTTCCATCAAAAAAAAAGTCCTGAAGACGAGTGCTTACAGTGGTGTTACCCCTACGTCCGGTTGGCAATTTGGTGTTAATTTTCCGGGTTTTCGCTGGATTTGGTCAAGAGCTTCGCTGAGACACTCAACAACAAGCCTTACGAAATGTTTAAATGAAATGTTTCATTGGCCGACTATGGTGAAGAAGTTGGAATAGTAATCGGCCGCTTGAAAAACAACAAAGCGGCGAGGCCGATGGATTACCGGCCGAGCTATTCAAATACAACGGTGACGAAGTGATAAGGCACATGCAAGAGCTTCTTTGTGAAACATGGTCGGATGAAAGCATGACCGTGATTGGAACTTAAATGTACCCAGTCCACAAAAAGGACGAACCCACAGTCTGGGAAAGACTTAAGCCCACCGCCAACAAACTGATTTGATCTTATCCACGTGACTTTAGGGCTGGTAAGTCGACAATTGACCAGATAGTCACCATGCGTTAAATCTTGGAAAATTCCCGTGAAAAGAGGTTCGACTGAATTTATGCAACAACAAAAGCTCCATGAGGATCGTGAAAACCTTTCCGAGCAGTTCCATATCAAACGAGGTTTCAAACAAAGTGATTTTTTATTGTGTAAAATCTTTAATTTAATGCTGGAGAAAATAATACGACTCGAATAGAGAATCTGGAATCTATATAATCTTAGAAGAGTTCAGAGCTGCTGTACGCTGATTGCATTGATATTGTTGGTCTTAATAACCGCGCTATGAGTTATGAGTTCAACTTTTCCCCAACTCGATAAAGAACGAAGGATACCAGATCCAGTAGTGAATAAGCGCAAGAAGAAAAGTCTCATCTCATTAAACAAACACGAGTCGCATTCGTGACACGTCTCCCACGACACCGTTGACAGTTTTAACTCGCAGATAACTTTTTCTATGTTGGAACAAGTATTAAAAAGACTTACAGCAATGTCAGCTTAGAAACCTAGAGCAGTATCACTCTTGTGAACAGGTTCCACTTTGGACTGAGTAGAAAATTGAAAAGTATAGCCGTTTCTCGTGGAACGAAGGTCAAATTCTACAAGTCGCTCATCGTGCCTGTCTTGCTATATGGTGCGGAAGCATGGTTGATGACAACATTTGAGGAGTCGGCGTTAGGAGTTTTCGAGGAAAAGTTTTTGCGTAATATGTATGGTACTCTAAGAGGTTGTGAGTGAAGAATACCGCAGCCGGTGGAACGATGAGCTGTACGAATTATACGATAATATTGACTTAGTTCAGCGAAAGAGGAGATAGCGGCGACGATGTATAGGTCATGCCATCCGAATGCATGAAAGCAATACATCTTTGATAGTATTCAATGCACTAGTCGATGGTTGAAGAGAGGAAGAGGAAGACCTGCACTCCGTGCGACCGGGTTTCATCTGTTATTTCCAGCGAAAAGTAGAGAGGAATTGCGCGCTGATATTAATTCGGCTATGGTGAAGAAGAAGAAGAAGAAGAAGAAGAAGAAGAAGAAGAAGAAGAAGAAGAAGAAGAAGAAGAAGAAGAAGAGTGAGAAATGTGCCACGTCTTTGAAGAAAATTTTGTTAAAAGAGCGCCGTCCAGTGGTTGTTGTTCAAGCACCCAATTAACATGAATACGGTGTTGTGAATGGCCAGCTGGATGATGCACAGGCCTTACAATATCCAATCCAAATCTCTTCAAATTTCTTTAAACTCTTACCCACAACTTGAGTAGTTGGACGATTATTTGCACCAAAGCAAGAAAAGTGGCCACGATTGAATCAAAATTTTCGTGTGGCTCTGCCGCCGTGCAATATTTTATTTTGTAGGGAGATGCGCCGCCTGGAGTCTGCGTACGTGTGTCTGTGTTCTGCTCGAAGCTGACAAATTGTGGTGGTATGAGTGTTTACAGAATCTCAAAATTTTATACCTAAATTAATCTAGTTAAATGTTTATTATTATTCTACTTACGTCCTCCTTAAAATGTATAGTCGAGCACTGCAACAGTGCGCCCATCAACTTATGTGGATTCCAGGTGACTGAATCGACTCTGCGGTGCGCATCATTTTCATGAAATTGAAGTGGAGAAAAATAGAAATAAATTATTGCATAATTCTCGGCCACAACTGTGCTCTCATAATTAATTGATAAATAAATAAATAAAATTAATAAATTTTGTTTGCCACAATTAAATGGCATTCAGCTACAAATTACAAGCAATTAACGCGACTCCACTGACTGACTTACTACCAGAGCTACATACATACATGCATACGTACATGCAGATACGTACACGTATGCGGGCGGGTATAAGAGCAACCCTCAGCACATTCCGCATATTCTCCAGAGCGATGGCTTGTTGAACGGCCGCAACATTTAATTCAATTCAAACAAACCAACAACAAGGGGAGTGAAATGCGCTCGGTCGGCGGCAACTCGGTGCGGTGGTATAAAGGCACACCAAGGACGCGCGCTTGCTAAACATCCCTTGGGGAGCTATTTACGGTTTGCCGCACAGATGCTGCCAACATTTATATTCTGCATTTTATTTCAAGACACTAGCGTATTTTGACTTTTTTTTCGCTTCGTTTTGTACTCACTGGCGTGGCATGGGTAGGTCGTTGGCGGCACGCAGTCTGCTGCCATCTTACGGACGTTGTGATGTTATCTTATTTGTTCAGTAGAACGTAAACACTCGAATGACATTTGCCAGATTTCAATTGCAGCATTTATATTTTAGTACATAAATCTCTAAATCTCTCTATGTACATATTTATATACTCGTAAGTATGTTTGAGTGTTTGAAGTGTAAATGTCTTTTTGTTGTGTGCTCGTTGGGTGTTTCGCTGTTTCACTGTTCGGTGCAAGTGGCATATGAGTGCTCTTCATCAAGTTCATCAATAAACGGTACTTTTTTCTATGTATGTATGTATGTGCCTCTCTCAGTGGAATTGATAGTGATTTGTGTGTATAAAGAATATTATTTTTGTGAAAGATTCCCATATCATTTACTTTTTTATTAACACTTGCCAAATATTGCTTGGGTGGGTTAAGAATGATTAATGGTATTTCGATAAAGATTCAATAAAGTAAAATATTAGGTCAAGCAAAAAGTTCGTTCGGTTCTTTTATTGATTTTTCAAAATATGATAACTTTGTATACATTTGTCCGATTTAATAATATGCGCCGTTTTGTTGGAAAACTTGTTGTCAACGAGATGCCAACTTTATTATACCTCTCTCGTAGAAGGCTGCGTCCCTATTGTCAAAAAACTCGGTGAGTCAATTTTCACAGGCCTCTCCTGCGGCCAACTTCTCACTATTAAGCACGTTCGCCATGGGCAGGAAAAGTTGGTATTAAATTGGTGCCAGGTCCGGACTATAAGGTGGTTGCATTAGAACATTCCATCCGAGCTCCTGGAGCTGCTGACGCGTCACCAAAGACGTGTGTGGCCTGGCGTTGTCTTGATGGAACACAATTCGGTCTCTGTTGATCAAAGATGGCCTCTTCTGGATAAGTGCTGCCTTAAAGCGGTCCATTCGTTGGCAGTAGAGGGCCGAATTGAGCGTTTGGTCATAGGGGAGCAGCTCGTAGTAGATGATTCCATGCCAATCCCACCAAACACACAGCGAAACCTTCCTGGCCTTCAATCCGGTCTTGGCCACCGTCTGGGCCGCTTCCGCGAGCTTTGACCACGACCATTTGCTCTCGATGTTGTCGTAAGTGATCCAGTCTTCATCGCCAGTCACAATCCGCTTCAAAAACGGGTCGATTTTGTTGCGATTCAGCAGCGATTCGCAGATGGAAATTTGGTTCATCATGTTTTTTTGCTTTAGTTTGTGTGGCAGCCAAACATCGATCTTTTCTTTGAATCCTAGGTTAAGCAAATGGTTCCAAACGGTTTTCTGGCTTATCTTTAGTTCCTCAGCAATGTAATAAATGCTCACGTGACGGTCTGTTTCCACTATTTCCATGATTTTATCGCAATTTTCGACGTCAGGCCTCCCGACTCGTGATGCATCTTTGACATCGAAATTACCGGAACGGAACGTAGCAAACCACTTTTGTGCTACACGTTCATTTACAGTATCGGGCCTATAACCAAAACTAATTTTTTCAGCCGCTTTGGCTGCTTTTTTGCCTTGATCGAAGAAAAATTGTAAAATTTTGCTTATTTTCTCTTTGCTGGTGTCCATCTTTGACGAGCGCTCACAACGTCCTGAGTCAATCAATCGAAAAACTGTCAAAGACAAAAACAACGCCATCTCTTATATAAAAACCGAACGGTCTTCTTACTTGACCTAATATTATGTGCCATGATGAGAGTTGCAGCAAAATTTCTCTTTCGCTGCCAGAGCTACAACAGATCTCTACCTTCTGGCAAGAGTGTAAGTGACATTTCTGCGTTGCATAAAAATCAGGGTCGTTCGAGTATAAAGATTCGATTGTCGCGTGAACTTTTGGTTTTAAGTCGCCTTACCGCCGGAAAATTCTTGAACTCCTACCCTTCAGGGATATCATCGCAATTGTAGTGCTCAATGGTTTCGCCTTTCTGCATTCAGCTTACCTAGCTTTTGAAGACGATATCTCAGAGGTAGATGCCCCGTCAGAATACAAAGAAGGATAATAAGTTCTATTTCATGCCTTCACGCTGGCCTAAAGGCTCTGAATGAGGCTGTCGGCTAGAAACTTAATAGATTACCCTAATCAAGTGCTCATCCATTTGGCACCTTCAATAATGCGTACAATCACTGCTACGAAGACAGTGGTTTAGTCATTATGTTTGGAGCTACCTTCAGGGGAGGATATTAGACATCCGCTTGCTCCAAGACTAACGTCTGTTTGCAGTCGCATCACTGGTGAACAGACTACTGCAACGTGTCGGAGTGGCTTCACTAAAGCTCCCTCTCCCTTCAACCAGATCCAAATCGAGGTATCTAAGTTTCTCACATTTCCAGGGTATGTGATGAGGCTGCTAGAGCAGCAAAAGGGTGAAACAAAGCAACTGAACCTCCCACATACTAGATTGTATTCTAAAACTGGGTTAAGCAACACTTAAAACTCTTTCAGTATCGAAGCAGATCTCTCCGCGTCGTTCGATACCGACGCAGGCTTAAGGCAAAGACATCAGTCTCATCAGCCTCGCTGTTAGTTTTGTCTTCTCCAGACTGGATAATTTAGCGAAGCCACTGGGACTGGGTGAACGTTGAATAAGACGAAATATCTCGAGTCTTTGAACACGTCTTGTGCCACTGTTGGCAGTCCTAACTTTGAAATTGTAGACGATTCGTCCATATAGGTACCAGTAATTGCAACAACAACAATGTCAGTTTTGAAAACCAAAAATTGCTACTTTGAACTGGGTAGGCAATTGAAAAGTAAAGCTCTCTTTCCCTCGGCGAATAGAGATCTTATAGAGTTTGGTCCCTTCTCATTCGGATGCTACTATGAGATGCAGAGATCTGGCCGTTGACGATATCTTGCGACGCAAGGACTTTTCGAGAGTAAGGTTTTGTGATTTGAAGATTTATGTTCTGTTGCTCTGGACTGTTATCATATAAACAGACAGGTCGCAGGTACTAAAATTTTTCGTTGATTTCAAGACTTCTTAAAAATTTGCTTCTCGTCCTTTTTCAGTACCGGACGGGAAGGTGATGAGGCCAAGGTTCTTTCAAACCATATTAAACGACTTATTATTCTTTAGAGATCAACGAGAGATTTAGTGCAATCGCCATGGCGTGAACCTCGCCATGTATTCTTGGTATTTTTTACTTTACTTTTCCCTGAACTCCTTCCTCTCCGTCTAAAAGTACTCTAATCACTAAGCTTTTAATGCATGTCTATGCCCTCATGCAAGTTCGAGAGTTGCTGATTGCACAATTTCTCAGGTGCACCAGCTGTTGCAGGCACTTTCGAATCAAAACAACAACAATTTTGAGAAATAACACAACAGAAATGGAATTTTCTCAGTTGTTGTAATCCTTTTGTTTCGATTTGATGTTTATTGACATTCTTAATGCTAAAATGCACAACAAGAAAGCCGAAGAACAACAACAAAATGCGCAAGTAAACTGCGGGTCGCCTTGCGAGCGAGAGAAAGAGGGAGAGAGAGAGAGAGAGAGCGGGGGTAGACAAAAACGTAAAGTGGATTTTCAACACTCACCCGCTGTCAGTCAATGGCATGACATGGGGTGAAGAGCGTCACAAATAAAGTTGATGAGTAAGGTGCATAGAGGCGTGAGGCTAGCGAGCAGCTGTAAATGCACGCCAACACAAGTTGTAGAGTAATTGATGGTAGCAAAGGTGGAGGTGGGTGTTCTAGCCGCGATGGTGGTGGTGGTGATGGCTTGAAGGATTTATTTAAAATGAGAGCAACACTTTGCATCAATTACGCACACATTCAATAGCTTTAAAACACACACACACACACAGAGCAGGCGTACCCACAACCGACCGAACATCCAGCACTCAGCGAAGTTTCCAGCGAGCCGTTGGATTTAGAAGGCAGTTTGAGGAATTTTCGATTAAAAACTTTAATTTGTTGAGCATTTGGCGGCAGTGCAGCGTGACATTGTTAGCATAACTTCAAAGAGGAATGTGGAGATGTCTATGTCTACATATATACGTATAGATACAATGGAATGCAATAAAAACAAACTGCGTACATTGCTTTGCTCGTTCAACCTCGTACGTCCTCGTTTCTAATGTATTCTTTCTCCGCCTCCGTTTGAAAACCTCGGAGGCTTTGTCAGCTTAAGCTGAAACCACTTCGTTAAAGTAGTTGCTACTCCGAAATTTGTGTATGTAATTTGAGTAAAGTAAGTTTTGGCTTGGCCTGCGCAGCGCCTCTCTTCTTTTCAGGGCATTAAAAGTGGGCCTGGGCTGGCTTGCGGTTGCATCGCGGTGGCAGTGTGCTAATCTTTAAATGGCCTAAGCACTCGCAAATTGATTACCATATCCATCAACGACGGTTGAGCGCCTAATGCTATGCTTTTAATTTTTTTTTCTGAGGAAAGTCTTTTGTATAAAGCAGCTGGAGCGTAGAGTAATTCAATGAAAGTAACCACTAATCTGCTGGCATTTATATTGTACATAGGTCGGCTGTCTGTCTTTTCGTCCTCCAGCATTCAATTATGCTAAGTTTGCGGTTACGCAAGGCGGTCGTACGTCGTCTTAGTGTGTTCCTCGTGTGAGCGGCTTTTGTTGCAGCACTCTTTTAATTGACACTTTCAAATTAATGCTTTCGAATTTCTGTCATTAATGGCATAGGAGATGACAAGCAGGCGAGCATCCAATCTCTTCAATACATATTGTGTGGCAAGCGGAGCGTATGACACTTGATTAATGGTTTGCCGATGCTGTTGAATAGCACCGACCGCCCCAAAACAGCTTTCAATACAAATGAAGTTGAGGCTTTTAAATCGAAATCGCTCAGAATGATGGAGGATTTTGTAGGGAGAGAAGGCAATTTTCTAAAATCAGCTGATTTTAAAATATTTTTCCAACAAATATATGTATATAATTGACGCTTTGTAACTGCTGACGCGATTTTCGCCCGAGCTCCTCCTCCGATTTGTGGTTTTTGCGTTCTGATTTTTTTAAAACAAATTGAGGCTGATAGTTTTTTATGAGGAGCCTCTATTTTATGTCTGAATTTCACTCGGAGAGGTGGATGTACCCTGCTGAGTGGCAACCGCAATTAGAAAATTTAATTTAATTTTTTCTTATTTAAATTATTTTTTCATAACTTTTGGAAGTTGGTAGCACCGGGATATGAACTTGATCCTTCCGAACGTCAGCGGCTACCGCTCCCGCCAAGCAAATATACAATATAATATACGAGAAAAAATACTAAGACGTGACAGGAAGATCGGGAAAACTGGTTAACGGTTAAACTTTAAATTCTCACTGCCTGGCCAAGTGGTGAAGAATATTAAGATAAAAACCACGATAATGACAAAGTATAATGAAGAGCGAACAGATGCTTAGCGATAAGTTTTCTGCACATTCCGAGGTATTAGAGTTCCTAAAACCGGCTTCGTAGCGAGTTATGGTGAATCTCTCAGGAGTACAACTTTGCTTCCGCCGTTTTCCGATAGGTGGCTGTACCGGCTGAGGCTGGTTGAAATACATAGATGATAATGCCTTTAAAGTGAGTGTGGACAGTGCCTAACGAATTGTCATCGCCGTTTCAGTGACAGTTGTTCTTGTTTTCGTATTATTCACGCTCGATAATGTCCGTTTATGTGCCTAATTCTCGACATTTGCGGGAAGTTTTACTTTTCTGTTACAATTCGAAAAAAAATGCAGCTGAAGCGCGTCGAATGCTCTCAGAAACTTACGGTGATGCTGCTCTGAGTAAAAGAAGGTATCGGGAGTGGTTTCAACGTTTTAAAAATGGTGATTTCGATGTCGAAGACAAACATGGTGGTGGAAGAGAAAAAACCTTCAAAGATGAACTACGAGCACTTAAAACAGGGCGAAACCATCAAAGGAGATCGCTACCGAACGCAACTGATGCGCCTTAGTCGCGCGCTAAAAGAAAAGCGGCCACAATATCAAGAGCGACATGACAAAGTCATCCTCCAACACGACAATGCTCGGCCTCACGTCGCAAAAGTGGTCAAAAAGTACCTGGAAACGCTGAAATGGGAAGTCTTGCCCGATCCGCCGTATTCACCAGATGTCGCCCCTTCTGACTTCCACCTATTCCGTTCCATGGCACACGGTTTGGCAAATCAACATTTTCAATCCTTCGAAGAACTGGAAAAGTGGATTGCTTCATGGACAGCGTCAAAAGAGGAATCCTTTTTTCGAGCCGGGGTCCGAAAATTGCCGGAAAGATGGGAGAAAGTTGTCGCTAGTGAAGGACAATACTTTGAATAATATATCTGTAAGCACTTTTTCGCAATAAAGCTTTTAATTTTGGAAAAAAACGGCGGAAGCAAAGTCTCGTTTTGTACAGGACAACAATTACAATGGTCATATCGTTATTGATTAATGAACTTTATGCTGACAGAAGCGCATTTGCTTTAGACAGATCCGCATGAACTTAATATTAGAGAAAGGGGGTCGATCGAGAACCAAACTTCTTCCAACTTCATAGTTGGGTGCAATCTAAATTCCGGGAAATGGGACCTGAGTCTTGAACTACAATAAGACTAAGGGGATTTAAAAAAAATTTAGTTTTTGGATCTTATTTATGATAATTGCTTGGTTGAAAGGCAGGTTGAGCAGGCGTTGATAATGACAACTGAAAATGTTTTAAGGTTCACTATTTGAAGGCAAGCACTTGGAAGAACCGATCTCTTAATTGGGCTACCCAGCTGGTTGAAATTCTCTTACAACTAAAAGCTGAGATCAGCGCCGTTCCAAGATCTGCTATAAACGGCATAAAAGGGGAAGAAAATTGGTCCTTGCGTAATCTGCTTTAGCAAGTTGGATTTGAGGTGGGAGAGAGACTACGTGACCAAGTCCTAGTACTCATTTCTGCGTATGAACGTTTCGCTACAATCTGCATCAGAGCGAAGGTCTTCAACACAGCACTTATTCGCACTCCCACCATGACGAAAAACAAGCCTATAAGCATTATATCGGCTACAAGGTTAACATCATACTGAGTGCAGAAAGCAGATGTCTTCGGCGCAACCGTCGGAAAATTTAGCCTCCATAATGAAACATTACCAAATGGTTTGGGGATGATCGACTTCGCCGGTTATCTGTAGTAGCTATGTGGTTCTCTAAGGTTCGAAATCATTCAACCAAGTCGATCATATAATCATAAATGGAAGAAGATCTGTTTTCACTGTTTTTCATAGGTGTGCGTACAAGCCAAGTACTGACCATCAACTCGGGTCTTTATCTTATTGGAGCGAAGATACGCACTTACCTCTACAAAGAAGGTTCGGAGTCGAAAAGCTGTTATTGCATTAGACAGCCGAACGGGTTCCTACTCGACTTGCATCCCTGCCTTCTGAGAGCACTCATCAGCAACTTGATATGCCAGTTTCCTTATATTGGCATTTCAGGTATCCTACGCTGGTACTATGAGGAATATCAAGCTGCCGATCAAGGAAAAAATACGTATTTTCTCTTAACGTTGCGAACGACCGCAAAGTGATTGGTTTACTAAATGTCAATAACGAAACAAGTCGCAATTGCAGACGAAAAAAAGGAAAAGCTCCAATGAGTGATTGCGAAGGAAGATCTTAGGAAACTGACCGTCAAAGGTCCTACATTTTATGGTGCCATTACATTGAAGAGATCTGATTACAGCCTGACTATCGGAGTATATTGTAACCGATTGTCCTGCTGCCGTAGATTTGTGCAAATCACACCGCGGCCTCCATCATTGCAAAGAGTTCCCCCTGGTCGGGAGCTTTGGTGGGATTGGGAACAAATTTCCGAGGTGGTGCAGCCGAGCTCCTTTGGGACCTCTGTAAGAGACACTATTCTTGTGTGTGCTATACTGCAAATCTTCCAAGGTTGAGTTGCATTCGATCTAATTGCGTTGCAGCCCTTGAATGTGGGAAGAATAACAATAAGACGGGAGCCGCCGACTTACCAGCTGAGCTTTGAACCTGGGTGAGCTTTGCTCAGTCCACAAAAAAGTGACTCCACTCGCCAATGAAAGGAGAGGAAGTCAATCAGTCCATAGATACGATCAGGTCGGGAAGGAAAGGAAGAAAGGGAATAGTTCATATAGGAAAGACCAAAGGCTTATCAATTGCAAAATTTAATCAATAAACGATATATTATATATTTTTATTAAAGAACTTACCGCTCGATGCCCGAAAGACGAGGATGTCGATATTTGCGCGACAAAAGCAGACCACCACCCCAAGCAGCCTTCAAATATATAAAGAAAATAGAAAATGCAAATTAAAACATTTTTTTCTTCACTTTAGAGATCTCTGTCCAGCTCCACTCACATCCACGTGCAACCAGCAGTTGTACTTCTGGCAAATATCCGCTATCCGGTTAATATTGTCGAAGGCACCTAATACCGTAGTACCAGCCGTGGCATTGACGAAGAATGGAATGTGACCCTTGGCCTTTCGTTCCAATATCAACCGTTCCAATTCAGACGTAATCATCTTGCCATGTTCATCAGATGGCACCATAACACAATGATCTGTACCCAAACCACAGACGGCGGCGCATGACTTCACCGAATAATGACATTGATCAGAGGTGAACATCACCAATTGACCGGGCAAACCGGCAGCACCGTGCTCCTTGTAATTGGGGAACATTTTATGACGTGCAGCAAGGAATGCATACAAATTGGAAATCGAACCGCCTGGTGCTAGTATGGAGTCACCACCCTCCCAGCCAATGATTTGACGCATTTTCGAGAGTACAACATTCTCCATAAGTATGAAGACGGGTGCGATTTCATATGTGAACATGTTGGTATTGGCAGTTGCAGTCAACCACTCGCCAGCCATTGAGACGATGTCCAGACCGCATGACAGCTGATTGAAGAAGTGTGGATGTCCTGTGTGAAATCGAAAGGAAAGAAAAAGAGAAGAAACGTAAATGAAAAGACGTGTGTGAATAAAAGTGTAACAAATGTGTTTAGGAAATAATTTCACACAAGAATTGACTCAACCAGACCGAAGAGATGTGTCAAAAGCGATGGAAAACAAGAAAAATGTTTCCGCTCTCTGCAGGAACAATGAAATAGCGGAAGGAGTGTTTCCATAGAAAGTTAATACTCTCACCACCGAGTACTGGTTCTGAAGTTTACAACTAGCAAAATTTAAACTCTATCTGTATTAAAGCGAATGCTGAAGACACTACACCACCGTGGTATCAAGACAAGGCTTTATCATGGCACGTGGTGTATTAAACCCCCGCCAGCCAGGTTCCATCTCTAACATGCGGTGAGCGTCTTGATTTTGTCTATCAAATGAATGAACATATAGCTTTTTCTGACTGACCTCAGAGCAGGCTTCTTTTGAGAAACTTTTTATTTCATGTCAAAATTACACCCGGAGGCGAGTGCAGTTTGAATATTTTTCTATAATTTTAGATGTTAGCCCGACCTATTCTTTTTCGATTCGTCGATCTTATGACCCTTCGTGCGAAAACCCAAACTTTTAACTATTCGGCCATTATCACCGCAATCATACAAAAACTAAACCATAGCCACAACTACATGAAGAACAATTGGGATCTCTTTGAATCATCGAGAAGACGAATCGAAAAAGAAGTGACATGGCAACGACAACCTCTAGAGAGAAGCCGGAGAGAACTTAAATTGCGCAAAGCAATCGCATAGCAGAAAAACTGATATCTTAGACGGTAGAAGAACAGTAACGAGCCGAGTGCGCAAAACCAAACTTCTTCATCGCACCAGCAGGAATTATATAAGTTGGCGGGAAACTCGACACCGAAATCAAGAAACTAAGGTCTCGGGAGACCTATTATTGATCGTTCGAGTCCAAGCGTTATAACTTTAGTTTAGTGACAGCGCTTTAGGTAAATAATTTCGCTCTACATGCGCAGTGGTCACATAGTAGACGTCAATACTTTGGAGGAACTTGAAAATCACAGACGCTTTAATATTATCACTGTCCTACGCCGACTTAGTTAGGGCTGATGATAAAGCAATTAGTTCATTCAGCTGGAAGTCGATAAAGTATTGGAAGAGTTGAAAAAATCAATGAGGGAGCAAATCACCGAAAAAGTTAAGAACTCAAAAAAGTCGTACAAGTAACCGTCTCTTAATAGCCTTGACAAAATAATCGGGCGATGATAGTTGGGAGCGTCAACTCTATGACGGTAGGGAGTATCGAAGACCTATTTCATTTCTGCTCCGAAAAGTCTGTAGTTTAAGAACTACAGGGTCGTGCGCTTGTTGAAACTACTTTAAGAGGCACACCACAGATTATAGTTGGAGATCAGCCGATAATCTCAAAATGCTCATGACCACTAGAGCTAGGTTAGGTTAGGGTAAGCTGGCTGAGTCTCAAATAAACGAAATACAACCGTAGTGTTGCCAAGCACACTACATGCGACCAAGCTGGGCTGCTACACTCCTATTGTGTTTCTAGTGTAAAAAACACTGTTGTTCTTTTCGCGAATTTAACTAGTCCTCCTGGCCCGTTGGCAATTGATGATTGTAGATCTTGTTGTCCTTCTGCGCCAAGTATACATAGCCTTTGTCTTCCGAAAGCTGGAAATTCACAGACAGTCTTCGTGCATTCCTTACATTTCCTACATTTGCTGTCCGCATTACGGCTTATATTAAGGGCATGGGACGCCAGAAGGCAAAGCTCTGTTAATAGTCCTTTCAGCAGCTTGGAGTCCGGCCTCTTAACTGATAGTACAACGTCTGTGCGTTTCCGCAATTTTGCAGCAGTTAGCTCGTTCCCAGAGTCGCCTGACGAGGTGGTATTGCTTCTGGCTTCTTCTTCACTTCCTGGATGAATGGAACAGGAAGGTTTGATGCTGCGCCCTGTTCCAAATGAACATCCGCTTTAGCAAGCTCGTCAGCTATCTCAGTACTTTCAACGCACGTGTTGCATTGCACCCAGTAAATATACACTCTTCTGTTTTCAGTGCTTCAATAGCTTCTTTACATAATGCCACTTCAGCTGACTTCGTGTTCTATGAAATTAGGTCTTATGGTCGCCTGACTAACCACATAGATTTGTATTCTTTCTCATTTGAGCAATTTTTATGTCAACAATTTCGGCTTGGAAGTTATTACCATGGCTTTCCTTATTTCCAGTTGGGCGCCGTAAATTGATATCCCCACTCCTTCGTTTATTTCGGAACCATCTGTGAAAACGAACTTTGTTTGCATATTTGAGACCAGAGCTAAATAGGTATCAATGCTCTTGGTCTCTAGTCAACTTCAAGTGAAGATTTGTTTTAAAAAGCAGCAGCCTTTCTTGGCTGACGTGGCGCTCTTCACATATCTCTCGTTTTGAGAGCCAAATTACAGACTTTCAATTTGATAGAGAGAATATTTTTCAATATCAATGTCACCAACTTTAAGCGACATCCTCGAGCTTATGACGATTATATGCGCTTGTCTATCACAACGTCACTTAGGAGCATTTCTTTGGAGCAACAACTGAAATTAAATGAGACGACAGAGGCTAGACGACGACGACGACGACGACAGCGGCGGCTGACAGACGTTGAGCCTTAAAGCAGGCAACAGATGTGCTTGACAGCTATGGCAGAATCTCTTCAAAAGCAATAAAAGATGAACCTTTGTAATATAAAAAGGACCTACATACGCACATATATTTGTAACAACAAAAGTAAAGAACAATTTTTGTTTCTATTCTACGACAAGTTAAATATCAAACGCAACCAAGAAGCGGAAATAATGCGCTCATTGCCCGACTGAGACAATAAGAGACATGGTGAGACGAATATATGTATGTATATCGATACATGGAGAATGGGAAATGCAAATTCTACATACATTTAAATATATGTATATACGTGTATATATTAATAATTTTTGTATGTATATATATTCTTTTCAATATGAAATTCCAGACTTTTGTGGCATTCGTCGGGAAGCACGCCTGAGTGCTGTTCAATACAACACAATCGAGGACGAGGACGAGGTCGACGCAACAACAAGGTCGATTGCGAGTCAATAGCGGCGCATTCATAGGCGCCAGACGCTGGTACATCTGGTGTTTCCGTTTACTTTTCGATTATTTCATGTGTAAAATCAATATAAATTTGTTGTTGTACACAAAATAGATGGTGAACAGAAAGTAAGAGTGAGCCGAGGCAAACTCTAATTCCACTAAATCGCGAGCCATCTCCTCAGCTGACCAGCGAGTGGCTTCATAAATTGCTCATTTATTGTGGCTAATTGCGATTTACAACAACAAAACTAAACACACAGATTTGTAGAGTAGTAGAGTGCTCAATGAAATCTCGCAAATAAATACAAAGCAAATACAAAAGTAAATAAAAATACAAACAACTCATAGTAAACAAAAACAGCTTACTCCAGCGCACGAGTGAATGACGAAGTGTAAAGAGTAAACTCACATTTCTCGCAAGGGGTTGCTGTTGAGGATGCTACACAAACACACGCACACACACACACACACACACACACACACACACTGTTGAAACTTCTCATCTCAAGTCTGTGATGCCGGGTGCCATAAGTCGGGTGATTAAAAACCCATTGCCCTGAGCAATGTGCGCATCGTCATTCATGTCCAACCATCTGTGTGCGTCTGTCAGTGCATACCAGCTGGGGCCACCAAACAGCATTTCCACATGGAGTGAATCATTTGTCTTGAAGGGATCAGGTATGATTTAACGAAGGCAAACATTTCAATTTGCACGCGGTGCGCTTCCGACGATGGCACAGTTGGCCAAATGCACAGCTAAACTGTTGCCCACACCCACTCACCCAAACACGTCACTCGCCCAACGTAGCGCCGGCCGATGCTACCCTCTCTGTATTCGCTGTTAGTCCATATTCCACCACAACGAGCGACTCGTTCATTCAGTCATTCAGCCATTCAGCCATTCATTCGCATCAAAGGATCAGCGTGCAGCGAGTCAGAAAATAACAACGGATTTTGATTAAAGCTCCTCTACTCTTCGGCACACGAGGGCTTATATACAAATGTGTGTGTGTGTGTGTGTGTATACATGTATATGAGACATTGAAGCTGAACTTCAATGCATTGTCATATTGACAGTAACGCCTGCTGCTCGCTGCCAACTATAGAGCTCGGCGTATATGAGTATGTCTTTCAGATGGTTTGAGTGCGTACTCATACTTTTCTGTGTATGTTTTGGGGTTCGAGAGCAGCAGCAGCAGCAGCAGTAGCAACATATTATGCTGGCAATATGGAGTGCGGGGGATTACGTGGGATTATGGATCATAAATGGGATTTTTATCGCAGTTACGAAATAATAGCAAAAGAATTTTTGTGTTTGCCTGTTTGTGTATGTGTGCATGTGTGTGAGTATGACTGTTGTATGTGGTGTTATGAGAGAGTGTGAGTGCGTGTTTGTGATTTGCTGGCATTTCGTGTATTAAAGTTAAATGTAAAAGTCATTGAAAAATAGACAAGTCAATGTGGGATTACTGTAGGACTTTAAGTTTAATAAAAATGTAACGAGCAAAGGAAATCCTTAATTATTTTTAACGTGAATGTGTTTATCTTTATTGATTTTGGCTTTAGTCTGTGACTCGGTTCAAGCTTATGGCAATTAGGCGCGGCCAGTTAAAAGCCGACTACTTCCTCGGCAGGAATCTAATCTGACGGTAAACATTAATATAGGTAGTTAGATGTGTTTGCCGAAAGAACATGCGCATCGACACACTTATGCGAAAATAGGCACGGCAAAAACAAAGGTTTCTGCGACTCTTCTCATTCTTTAGGTAAGGGATTAGACGTGAAGCGAAGCCAGGTCCTTCACCAGAGAGAATACTTCAAATTAAATTGGCTGTTTAGTCCAAAGTAGCGCTTATTGCGGAGGGTGGCTCGATGTTAGTCTTCAAGGCTGTCCATGGTGACTCTTGGCGCTTACAATTTTAAAGTTCTGACCGTCGGGAGTCGACTTTGCCTTGGCAGCGACAGACAAACACCTACAACATTAAGCGATCTACTCCAAAATGCTCTAACTGTAGTTAAAAGATGGCGCAGAGATAGCGGGCTAGATGTGAACCCTAATAAAACTAAAATGGTTTTATTTACCACGAGAATTCCAAACAGATGCTAATGCAGGTTTACCTCTGTCCACGGCAAAGTAAATGCTTAAACTAGCCTTTACCAGGAAAGCTGATTCAAGAAGGTTAAACGAGATCACGTCCAATGTGACCATATAGCTTTAGCCGAAGTTGGACGCGAAACGATGGAAACATTTTATCCTTCTAGACCTCTTCTACACAAATATAATGACTGTTTAATGGGTCTTCACTGGAAAAGAATGGGCCATCACTCTAATAATTTTTGCCGCAGTTGTAGGGACGAGGAAGAGGAGGAGATCGTTGAGCACTATCTCTGGCACTGTTCAGACTTAACATCTGCGCGACACAAATTCCTCAAGAAACATCTCTTCGATTGTCTTGCTGAGTTCGCCACAGTGAATATTGGAAACCTTGCTGCATTTATAAGGAGCCCGAAATGGTTCGATCATCTGAGAAGGTGAAGGAAGGAGCCTCGGCGGTATCACAATGGGCCTTTTCGCCATAGTGTGCTACCAGCAGCCGCATCAACTCAACTCAACTCAACGTGGACGGCGACGTCGGTGCCAAGACACGAAAGCGCCGATCACAATCAATCAGGCGCAACTTGCCTAGTGTCTCGCCTCTTCAATTTTGACGGACCTTTAAAATCGAGGATTTAAAATCGACGATACTTTCTCATGTTTTTTTTCAGAATCAATGGTGGGTCTGCTAGGTTGGAAGCCACGTGAGCTTCAATCCCTCAATGTTTTTTAAACCATCGTTTTTTCAACAAATGAAGAGACCAACACCTTACTAAACCGTCTCCAAACGGCTGATGGATTTTTATGAAGAGCATTTATTTCATGTCCGAAATACACTCGGAGGGGTGGACATTTCTGCCGAGAGGCAACCGAAACATGACTCTCAGAATGGCAGTACGCAATGCTAACCACTTAACTATTGCGGCTGCCTGTGGTCTACTAGATCATTACTTGGTTGGATGCTGAGTTGGGCTTTCAAGGACTTTGGTGAGACTTTTTTCATTTCATTTTTTACCATGACTTCAAGTCACTCTTCTCCTTTATGGTCCACCAAACTAGAGTTTCTTATGCTGTTAAGGGCTTGACTTTATGGCATGTTTGGTCCTGCGTTTCTTAAGTCCTCTTTCACAAATATAAAACTCCGCAGTGGACGAGGCTTCAAGGTGAAGGTTTCCCATCAAACAAGCAGTTCCTGTTACATTGAAGGGATTAACTGAGGAAGAGTTGATTTTACTTTTATTTATATTTCGTTGCAAACAAAAGGAACGCATTTTTTTTAAATTCGCGAAGAAAAAGAAGAAGAGCAGCACCTTTTTTGTGTTTACCACAGCAAGAGTCAACCCCCCAGCTCTCCAAAGCCCATTGAGCTTATTAGAGAAAACAAACATTGCGCTTATCTCCCTGGGAAATGTTTGAACAGGCGGACAAGAATCGCTTAAAAGCACCCGCAACTGGAGCTCACAAGCCAATCTCTAACGCGTCAGCCAGTTTGACAATCATGCCAAATCAAATTTGTTTTTGCATAATATTTGAATAATAATTAGCCGCAAGAGTAAGTAAATTTGCATTAGCATATGTCTGTTGTCGCCTCTTCACCCCACGCGCCCAGCACAGCTTGATGTCTCTCCTCGTCTAAACTGAACGAATGAAGGAATGAATGGTTATTGATATACGATGGTACGTGCTCGGTTGCGTTGTGGTCGCATTAGGGTAGTTTGGCAGACGACGAACAATGAAAGGAAGATAATCAGATCAACAGCGGCTGATGCCATTTTATGGCCCATTGAATCCAGACTCTTTAAATTTACACCTTTCAAGTGCAGACATACAAATAAAGAGATGAATATACGAGACGTGTGCGACAAGGAGTTTAGTTTTCGTGCATTTTAAGGACCTCTTCGGCTGAGCGACAAATATTGTGGTTGGCATAAGTGCCAAATCAATCAAAATCTTTCGCTGCTCCCAACGTTGTCGCCGTCAAAGGATTGAAAGCCAAAAGTCGTGTGTCAGCTAGCGGACTAAAAACTTTCACATTGCGTTGAGTTGAATGCAGCGCTGATTCCATTGTGCTTGTGCGTTAGTGGTGCCCGCCCCTTCGTGTGCTGTCTAATCGAATTTGGCACGTGACCACAATTGTGTTTGGAGTAGCGATAATAAGCGTATTTATGGCACTCCGAAGTTGCTGCCTGCTGGGCATATGCCCTGGGAGACACTTAAACTCAGCCAGCCGCACACCACCCATCCACCGCTCCGGAACTGTCAGCCTTGTAGCGGATGCGTCGCTGTTGGCTTTAGCTTCCGTTGTGTGGCGTTGTTGTTGCTTTTGTTTTGATTATTTTTGTAACCAAAACTTTTTAATGAATTCAATTTGAGTTTACTTGTTTGTTGGTTTTGCTTTTGTAAATTGAATTGACACCGAATAAATACAAAAGAAACAATTTGTGCCAATCGGCAAGTGTTGACGACGTACCGGAAGTCACGAGCTGTAACGTCTCTACCGTTATCAGGAAAAAGACATTGTAAACTCACCAGTCTTCACTTGATATTTCAATGTGGTGGCACAGTCTTCAATCAGTTGTTGCAACGTCACTGCGCGATCAGGTATCTCCAAGTTAAGCAGCGCTTTCATTTCCTCTGGATGATGGAACTCCAAGACCTTCTCATTGCGATCGTTAGTCGCCTTGACGAAATCCAAGAGTACATCAATGACTTTCTGCAGGAACTCTCGGGTCTCAGCCGTAGCACTGACTGTGGTTGGCAAAAGATCTGGAATGAAAAATAAGCAGTTCATAAAGTAAGTAAAATATATTTAAAATTAGAGTATATATATGAGAAGCTTTGGTTTTTCAAAGAAACAGGAGTTTGAAGACCGTTGGCTGCCAAGCGAGTGTCAAAAAAAAGCGTCAAAGGTTAGAACTGAAGCACACTCATTTCATCGAAGCGATGAGGTTAAATTGGTCTTATCGGCGGTAGGAAGAAGGAGCTATCATTTGATACCTTTTTCAGGTATATCACCTAGATCCGAGTTCTTCAACGCCAATTCGATCTCCGAACCAGTAGCCTCATTTCGTTACGTTTTGGATCAACACTGGGTAGAGGTAACTAACGTTGAGACTCAACGACTCGCTAAGATTCTAATTTGTCAATAGTGGAATTTTCGTTGGGTAAGAGAGAGACCCAATGAAGTTCACATTTGAGCATTTATTCGTGGATATAAGAAAGACTTGTGTGTCTTGTGCTCTTTCGTTATCTAAATTCTTTAAGGAGCTAAAACAAGAATACCGGCGGAAGAAAGTTGTACTTTTCGATTTCTTTTTCCTCGATGTTAAGCTCTTGAAGCAGGAATTGTTGTAATGAAAGAAAGGCTACAACTACTACAGTGGTCGTCCCTCCGCAAGGAACTCTAAATATACGAGGGGATTAACAAAGGTGCGGTCAGTTGGTGATTTTCGATTTGTTTTTGCTAAAACTAAGAGTACCAAATCCTCTGAAATTATTTTATTAGTCTTCGTTTCAAATTTTAGAACGATCGGCTGAAATGGAGACGGGAATAGGCAAGATAGCTGAGAATAAGTCAGACGAAATTCCATCTTTAACGCAAACAGAAACTCGCCATGTGGTTCTCTTCGGATTTCGGCGTAATTTGCAGCCAATAAAAGCATTCAGTGAATGTCAAATTCCATATGGAACGATTGCACCGTCTTTAAAGATTATTTCCAAGCGATTCCGAAGACTACAGACCGGACGTTTTTCCGTTGAGGACGAGCGCCGAGAAGGTTGGCCAAAATCTTCTACTGATGACGTCACTGTAGCTATGGCGAAGTCCAAAATTGACGAAGACCCACGATTGACACAAGAAATTATTGCTAATAAATTGGACTTGAATGCCACGGTTGTACCGCGAATGTTAAGTAACATTTGGTATACACGAAGAAATCTGCTCGATGCGTACCACGAATTTTAAATGAGATCCAAAAAGAGGCTGGATTTTTCCTAGACAAGCTGGAAAATGGTCAGTCTAGCAACTTTAGTAAAGTCATTACTGGTGCCGAATCTTGATTCTTTAACTACGATCCAGAAACCAAACAGCAGTCCGTAGTATGGAGCGCAACAGGAGCAAATCCACCCTTAAAATCTAAGCAACAAAAATCAGCAGCAAAAGTAATAATGTGAGTTTACTTGACCCGATCTAAAGTCGTAGCTCCCCTTCCACTAGAAAAGGGTCAGACGGTAACTGCAAAATGGTACACCGAAGAGTGCTTACCAAAAGTTTTTAAAAATTTGTTGGAGCACATGAAGAATTAGGATTTGTGGTGCTACTTTTTACATCATGACAACGCGCCATCCCACACTGCTCAAATAACGAGTAATTATATTGCGATCTCTGGGAACGAAGAAATACATCCTGCACCATTTTTCCCGGATATAGCGGATACAGCACCCTGTGATTTCTGTTTCTTTCCAAAAATTAAAAACAAATGTAAAAGGAAAGGTCTTTAATAGCAACGGGGAGATAACTAATGCGGTTAATGCTCAGCTTGATAAGCTTGAAAAGCAAGATTTTGAGGACTGTTTTCAGAAGTGGGTCTATAGGCTTAACAAGTGCCTTGAAATCAATGGCAAAGAAAAGAAGAATAATAATCTGCTTTCTGTGTCGTGAGTTGGCAAGGATGAATTATCGAAAGAAGAAATCAAAAGAATCAAAAAGGCCCGGGTAGACCAATTACAGAGTGTGTTGCTCCTACAAGTACACATCTTTGATAATACGTCAAAAACTAACAGAGTTCAATTGGAAACTTTTACCCCATCCTTTCTATACTCTTGACCACGGACCATTAGATTACGAAATACATAAATATATAATTGGCGCTTTGTAACTGCTGAAGTGATGATTTTCCGCCGAGCACCTCCTCCAATTTGTGGTTTTGCATCTTGATGTTTTTCCAACAAATGGAGATACCCAGAGTTTAGACATAGCCGCCTCCGAATGGCTCATGGTTTTTTTATGAGGAGCCTTTATTTCATGCCAGTAATACACTAAGGGGGTTGACATTTCCTGCCGAGGGGTGATCGCAATTAGAAAATTTTTTTTAAATTAATTTTCTATAACTTTTGGATGTTGGTCGCACGGGGATTTGAATCCGAACCATCCGAATGGCAGTACGAATACTAACCACTCGGCTACCGCGGTCAACATAAATATGCCTCCAGTTAATACGGGTATTACATATCAAGCTTTTGCTCTCCAAAGGTCAGTAGAACTGGACTTAGGCTTAGAGCTGCCTGCTTTTTTTTGTTATTTAAGGACTTCGATGTGGTCGGCAATCAGCTCTGGTGACATGAATTAAAAGCAGCGGTGATCTGAAGGAACTTTTAGAGGATTTATGAGAGGATACTTTTCTTGAAACTCACTTATTAATTTTGACAAAAGAACTTTAAAGGGAAAAGTGTCAAAATTTATATTCCTTGCAAACTTCAAGCTTGGTAATTCTACCCAGATGGACAGCATGCATTATTGCGCAAGCAGAAAAAAATGTGAAAGAAACAAACACACAAGCAGCTTCTCTTGCTTATCACCTTATGATATATGATTATGACGGTCTCCGGGTTAATAAAAAAGAATTACGAATATTGCATATTTTGGCCATCATCTGCTGCTCGCTAAGAGTAATACAATTTTTTTTTCTTTCCTGGTCATAAAAATCAGATTTTCTTTAAAGATTTCTTCTCAAGTACGATAATCAAAAACATTCGCTACCACAAAAAAAAAAAAATGAAATTATTGCCAGTTTGCTGTGGAGGAAATTGCGGCTACCGTGCACTGATTGAAAAGCGCCCTCTTCCTCTTTTGATATATCGGCCGTCCGGACTGTTTGAACGAAGTGCCATAAGGAGCAGCACAACAATAGCAAGGCGCATAACAATAAGCGCAGAGCGGGTGGGTGGAGAATTTTATATGAAACTTTGCCAAACTCACATGCCAATCGACCCTTGCAAGGTCGTACAGCTGGCGCACTCCAATATAGAGGAGTGAGAAAATTCATTCATCAAGTTTGAATTTCGTATTCGAAATTAATTTTTTTTTTTTGGTTTTGTTAAACAGTTATTTTTTTATTTATTTTTTATTTACATGGATTTAATGGATGGAAGCGAAGAAAGGAAAAAATAAGCTCATTTCACAATAAGAAAAATATTCAAGGTGCTCTGGTGAGTTGAAGAGGTCTCGAAATTCTTCTCGAAAAGTATAGCACACTACAGGATGCTTCCATGAACCATCAATTACTTAGGGCTTAGTTAACGAAACAGAAACTAGAAACAGCTTCAGCATGCTCGTAAGAGCATCTAAAAATTAAACACCGACTTTTAGGACGCCTTAAGAGAACGTTTCCAAATACAATCTTTCCAAAGTGCAACAATCCTAAATAATTGGCTTATCTCCTAGATCATCTCATGGATGATGAAAATGAAAGTTACTACATAACTACAGGGACCTTAACATTGACCTCGCTTTGCGTCTGCAAAGCGTGTACCAAGTAGATGTCCTATGCACTGGAAAAACACCTAGAGCTGTAATAAATAACGATGGGTTGATACAGGAAGCAATCATATATCCGATCGGCCGGTAAAGCAGCACTGCAGGTAGGAGATGTAAGAAGGCTTGGAGCTTGGTAGCAGTAAAATTCGATATCTCCATAATTTGGAGTGCCGGAAAAAGTAACATTTTCGGCAATGATACATCCGAAGCGAAGTTAATACCATATATTCCAGGAACGATAAGGAGAGAGTTTCGAATTCATCACAACTGTATGATAAGGAAACAGTTTTGACTCAGACATGACAGACACTTCTTAGCCTATCTACTAAATAGGACCAGCAATAGTATTTAAAGGCTAGCAGTCGTAATGAGAGGGTCTTGAGGTTATCAAGTGGTTGGACGCAACCATGAAATGCGATGTTATGACATTAATGAAGGGTATTAGGCTCGAGGTCGGCGGCGAGTGATTAGCATTGCGTACTAACATTCGGAAGGCCAGGGCTTGTATCCAGGTCTGACCAAAATCGATAAAACATTATAGAAAATTCATTTATGTAATTGTGCTCGCCCCTCATCAGAGATTGTTGAGCCCTTCTAGTGGATTTCTTTTCATATAAGTCCAACCGTCATTCGGAGGCGGCTTAGTATGAACTACACCACAAATGAGAGGAGGATTTTGGCCGTAAATCACATTCGGACGGTACTCCCACCTATATACTTAAAAGCGTTTGTGCTGGATGGGATCTTGGCATTCATTTTCTGTACATTCTCTGAAGACGTGCTGTTAATGACTGGTTGTTAGAGCCTTGGGCATGATAGGCAGACGTGTAGGTCGGACAGTTCACGAGTACGGCAAGCGTGAATGACCTGATTTTTATAATTAAGGTAAGGTGACTCCTCGCCGTGATATAAACTAGTGTGGTTTTTATGTCCGATGGCTGTCGGAGGGTGCCCTACACTCAGTTTCGAAGAATGTTCCAAGCTCTGATCTTGGTAACTAATTAAGACGACCTTCTTGGCTTCAATTTTCGATCACATGAGAAATCAAAATATAGAATTGTAGAACAGAAAATTCCCATGGTTGGAAGTTCATGTGCAAATATTTGTTTTAAGCTGAAAGAAGATAATGAAAAATTTGATGACTAAAAGTGCACACTACCCAGCAGAGGAGGGGACTTGGAACCGCGACCAGACCATGACCAACCTCAAAAATCACATAAAATTAATTTTAAAGAAAATTTACTCATTGCGGTCGCTTCTCATCAGCTCCGAGTGCGTTTCTACGGTGAAATAAAATTCTTCATAAAAATTCATCAGCCGTTCGGCGGTGGCTGAGAATAAACTGTACGCCCCACCGTTTATTTGAAAAATGTCGAGACGAGCACGGCAAATTGGGTGGGTAGCTGGACCGCTTCAGCGGATACAAGCAGACAATAATATCAATTTACAGTAAAAATCTGCCAGCTACTCGGAAGCTTCCTAAATAAAAAAATATAAGAAAATAAAAAATAAGCAAAGTGGAAGGGCTTTGGGGCACAAGCAAGGCATGTGCAGATCCATACCCGCGCATTGAACAAAAAGCAAAAAAAGCTTCCCGTTTTCGCTCCAAGACACTAAACTTTTGCTGACGTCACGTCTATTTGGCCAATAAAATTCCGTTAACCATTAAAACTTAATTGCGACACTGAAACTTTCATTTGAATTCTCCGAATGAAATCGCGTGCGAAATTAAAATTTCCTCTCATTACTCAGCGGCAGTGAAGTGTGTAAGTTTAAAATGACCTCTGTACATACATATGTACGTGCGTGAAAGTCCAAAGCACTATCACGAGTTGCTTTCATGTACAAATTTTCGATGGAAATTCCAGTGAGTTCTTGATGGAAAAAAACATTTATTTGCTTTGCCAGCTCTTTAAATTCAATTTAAAATACGTTAATGGTCGCATTCGTTACGCTGAAAGAGACTTTGGTAGACACTTGTAGAGATAAGCATCGACGCGTGTGGAGAGGAGAAAAGGAAGGAAGAAGGAAGACTGCATCATGCGCCACATCAACGACAGACAGACAGACAGATAAGGTTTTTTGGGCCGTCGAATTTTCACATACCAAAAGAAGCTACAAAAGCCGTTCTGCGCATAAATAGCTTTGCTCCGATGCTGAAAGTCTTCTACACGTACGTATGTATGCCAGTCATGCACGATAAATAAACGGAATTCCAGTGACATGTAAACGAATGTAATATCCTGTGACTAAACGGTTTATGCCTGCCCGTGTATTGAATTTCAGCCGCACGCATCCTACACACTCGCCATGTGTCAGTGCCAGGAAAGGGGATGACTTTGACTTCTTGCCTCCGCGCGCGCGGGTCTCTGCAGCAAATCTGCTACCTCCGTTGAGTGAATTGTGAAGGTGGTGTAATCTGTTGGGTGCTGCGTGAGTTGGGTGTGAGTCGTCGGGCAATTTATCACCTCAGTGGACGAGTGTGTCCGACACCGGCAACTTCTGGTGGCACACAAAACACTCTCATTTCTCTCTTGTTGTGCTACACCGTTACTCTGTTACACTTTGTATTTCTTTTGGCTGAGTTGTAAATAAACAAAATGTGGCATTTGGATAAACTTCAGCGGATTTATCATTGTTTGTGCTATTAGTTGTGCCACAAATCGCAAATACTTAGTAAATCCATATGTCATTTGCCAAATGTGACTACGGTTGAGTGGAGTAGTATTTATCCAGTGCTTGAGCGTAATAACTGCACATGTTTTTACTTTTTTTTGGTACACTTGGGTGAGTAAATTGGGGAGTTGGGCCAAGCAGTCGCTCATGGGGAGGTAAAGGAAAGACTCGAAAGTGCTAGATTCTCTTAAGCAAAAACCTCTTGAATGAAACCCATTTTGAGCGTACGGAAAATAATAACAAGAAAATGGAAAATTTTAAATCTCAAAATGCAGGGATTTCCAGTAAGAGGTGTTACTTTAATATTCCAAGAAAAACTAATTTCTTAAGAAGAATGATTGGTCGGTTAGATCCATATTAAGTCGAAGATTTGCCAGTTATAATGGAAAGCAACATCAACCGAATGGCCGTCACGTCTACTCTTACAGGACCGCATACTTTTTATGAAATTTTCCATCACTAAATCGCAAAGTGCCTGCTGTATGCCCTCAATAGCTTCACGAACTCCATCTTTAAGGCCTTGAATCGACGTCGGCCTGTTGGCGTTGTGGTCACAAAGGAAAAATTCGGAAGGTGTTAAATCAACGGCTCTCGGTGGCTCATTGGAATTACCTCTTCGAGATACAACACGGTCCGGAAACTTTTCATTTAAAAAATCGATGGTATCATTGCTTGTGTGGCACGTAGGGTCGTCTTGTTGGAAGTAAACATTGTCCATTCACCGTAACTCGTGCTTCAGTCTCATTTTCGAAAAAGTTCGTTCCAACGTTCACACCAAATAGTTACATACGAAGAGCACGAGCTCCTCCACCATTTTGCGATGTGCCTTGTCATGATTCTCCAACAAATATGGAGGGTCCCATAGTTTATTCTAAAAAATAATAATGTGAAAACGTAATTGTTTCGAGTAAAATGGCTGTAAGCTCGTTGGCAATGTAGGTTGTGAAGTTTACTCTGAACCTCTTCCTATAGACATGAGCAAGAGACTAACCACAACAACGGCAGCCGCTTCAAGGCTGCTCTACTCTAATACGAGAATAGAACCTATTACAATATATTCTGACAGCCATCCTGCCATTAAGTCACTCCAAAGCGATCTTATCTCCTTAAAGGTGCCAATAATATGCAGATAAATCTTAAACAAACTATCGACTGTATTGGAAATATTCTTGATTGGGGTGCCTGGTCATAAAGACTTCCCAGGCTGACAAGCTGGCTAGAAAGAACAAGCATAGCTCTATCCACGACAAAGTATCTGTTAAGACTTGCCTTCACTTAAATATCCAACAGTAACTGGCAGATTTCTTAATCGAAGTGAATAGAATAAGTCTTTACTCCTTCCAAACAAAATCAGCACAAACATAATAACCGGACACTATCTTACGGGAATTCATGGTAGAAGGATGGGCTGCTTCTCAAACAACTTTTGCCGCAGGTGCAGCGACATAGATGTGAAGGAATCGGTGGAAAATTATCTCTATAACAACTCAGCTCTCAGGGCAGCTCGTAGTCGTTTTCTCGGTAGTTTCTACTTCGATTGCCTTATACTTCAATAACCAAACGATTTTAAAATCTTAACTAGTCTTAGCTCTCTTATTGGAAAACTGACACGGCTGTACTGTACGAGGACGGAGAGCATATAATTTTTAAACTTGATTTAATCGCATAGATTTTCATTAATTTCACTAAATGAATAAGAAATCACTCACCCTGTGCCGTCAGTCGTGCCGTTTTATCGGACAATTTATAACCGTTTGGATTGATCGACATCTTCTCCTCTGAAATTAGATGAAGAAAACAAAGTAGTTATTAAATAATTACATATTTTAAACGGTTTATTTTAAATAAATTATTATTGAACACATAACTACAGTACGAATATATTTGAACACTGGTATGCTATTGTTTACATTCGATACTGAATTAAAAAACAAAATTTGCCAACATTTTCGAAAATACTCAATGTCGAGTACGAAAATAAAACTGCCAATTCACTTCCGTAAATTCAAATAATCGATGATATGGGTGCGGCAAAATGAGAATGAGAGCGGGAAAAGAGATTTTAGGAAGAATTAGCATAAGTCAAAGAAGAAGAATTTCATTAATTGATTTTAAAGAGAGATTGCTTCTTAGTTGTTGTTAAAATCAATTTGGCGCCGAATACTTTAATTTGTTTACAGTTGAGTGTTGGTTTTTTATGCGACATCAAGCAGAAAACCTAAAGAAAAATGTAAATTACCATTGCAATAGTACTGAAATTGTAAGCCATTTGAAGAGAATATGTGAGCAGAAAACAATAAAGCAAAGAAAGACCAAGTAAAATTAAATTAAATAAAACAAAAAAAAAAAACAAAAATACAATGTAAAACCAAATTATGCAAATCATAAATAAAAAAAAATAAATAAAATAAAATAAATAAAATAAAATAAAATAAAATAAAATAAAATAAAATAAAATAAAATAAAATAAAATAAAATAAAATAAAATAAAAAAATAGAATAAAATAAAATATAACAAAATAAAAAACCTTACAAAACATGAAATAAAATCAAATAAAACAAAAAAATTAAATAAGTAAATAAAAAAGTTAAGCAAAAGAACTAACTGAATACAAATTAAATAAAAAAATTAATAAGAACAAATTCAATTAAATTAACTTAATCAAAATGAAATGAAAAAGTATACAAAAAAATTAAGATGATAAATTAAAAAAATATAATATGTGTATATATAAATATAAAAGGCTCTATCTTGAAGGGCTGACGGATCAACCCATAACCAAAACCATTGCTCGTAGATACTTAAACCTTATAGGGAGTGTTCTGCGTATGACATTGGCATCTGATAAGAAAGGATTTTCCGGAAAGTGGAAAATCGTTTGATTTTAATGAACTTTGATACTTAGATAATCCGTTACCTAAATTCTCAAAGGGAACACTTTTTCACTTGGGAAGGGGTTCTGGGACTACTTTTAAATCGTTTGATTTACATGAATTTATATGGGCAATACTTTTACTTCCGAAAAGTGGACCTGGTGCACATAGATTCCAAAAGTTGGTATATATGGTTTGAGGTACATCAAATTTAGTACCGTTGGGAAGACTTTTCCTTTCGGGAAGAGGGTTCGGCATCGACTAAATGTTTAGCTTAATTCATATATAAATTATAATATTTAGTAGAACCATCCAAGCGGAATAAAAAAAATAAAATTGAACTAAATAAAATTTAATAATATAAAACAAAATATATTAAAGTAAAATAAAAGAATGTGATAAAAATTAAAATATAATAAAATTAAATATTAAAAAATATAAAAAATTTAATAAAACAAACTTAAAAATTATATAAGATATAATTAAATAAATCGAATTAAAGGAAAAAAATAAAAAAAAAATAAATATAAACTCACTAAGAAATTGCATAAAAAAGTAAAATAAATAAAGATAAAATAACAAAAATATGAAAAGGGCAATAAAATTGAAGTAAAATCAAAATTAAAATAATTAAAATTAAAAATTAGCAAAATGGAAATTAAATAATATGAAATAAAATTGATGTACAATAATAAAATTAAATAAAGTAAATTTAAAGAAAATAGATTAACAAATTACAAGAAAAATATTAACATACCAATAGAAACCAAAAACAAGAAATAAAATATTATATTTTATGTACATATATCAGAAAATTTAAGGAAAAATTATAAAATAAACAAATAAGGTTTTTTTAAATTTGTAACAACAAATAATTGATTGGAATAAATAAAAAAATGAATTAAATAAAAATAAAATATAATTTTCTAAAGCATTTAAATTAAATATTATTTGCATTTATCAAAAGAAAATCCTTCCAAAAACAGCTTGAATTGCCAAATAATGAAGGACAAATGAAGGACATCTGCGAAATGCGTAGTTGTGTTATCTGTTTGAAAGCCATAGTGAGAAGAAGGCAGTCCGCTTAAAAAGTATAATTTTATGTAATCATAAAGACTTGGTTGTATGGAAAAAATAGTATGCAGTAGGGAATGATAGGATGTATGGCTGTATGAGTGGAGGTGTGTATAATGAAATGACGCCTCGCAACTGCGCGTTGCAAACTGTGTCTAACCTCTGCCGAATCAATGAAGAACTACCAAAATTTTCACGAAGGACAGCAATTTTTCCACATTGATTATGCAATCAAATATTAGACCCAAAATTGAGAAGATAAATGATTTTAAATAATTTAAAGGAAAATACTAAAATATTGGAAAAAGGTAATGTTTTAATATTATTTTTTATTTAACAAATTTTTTTATTAGTAAATTTTGTTTTGTCTGACAATTATTTAATTATTTTTTCTAAGTTTAAAGGCCAACAAGAATTTTATTTTCCATAGAAATAGAAAGAGCGCATTGAGTGTTACACACATTACTTTTATTATATCATAAGTTTGTGATAAAATTTATTTTCTCACTATTTTAATTACTATTGCTGCTAAAACTATGCTCAATCGTTTCTTTGTATTTTCACACTAAACATACTGTGATTCTTGAGTTTTTAAAAGGCAACTTCTGTGACATAGTTTTAGGCGCTATAGTGTTGTGTTGAATTTTGTGATAGTCGTTAGAATAGGACAATTGGTTTTGCATTGTTTGAAGCCTGCTTACCAATAATCTTGCGGAGGTCTTCGATGTATTGCCTTAGGAGAATCACTTTGACTGTTTGGATTTAAAATGTTTTATGATGAAAAAAGTGGTAATTTGGTGCAGCTTTTTTTTTTTTGGTGACTGTTGGATGGATGATGATTGTACGGTTATTAAGCTCAAAAAACTACTTCGATTGGTGGATGTTGGAACGTAGCCTTGGGATGTGTGAAGATGTGTGGCGGCCAACTACTGTGAAACGCTTTTAACTTTCTCTTCGTTATATTTATAATATTTTCTGTGATTATTTTTATTTTTTTTTTAATTCTATGTGGTTTTCTACATTTAACTAATTTTTGTATTTTTTATTTCTTACGAAATTCTTGCAATGCTTCTAGATATCAGCCACTAAGCGTTTTCAGAAAAACACACTTTCGACTATTTCGAGGAACCGTTACCAGCTACACAAATTGAGCACTTTGTTATTATTTTCTACACACTTTTTGAAAATTTGGCAAACTAGAATTGTCTGAGCTCTGAAACCACGGTTGAATTACAACTACCCTCAACGTTTAGCCAGCCAGGACGGACAGAACGCGAATGCAGCTTTACTGTTTGGCGATCTGCGGCGCTATGTGCTCCAGCATCCGTTTGAGTTGCCTATGAAGCCAAGCATTTTCAAAATGGCTGCTAGGCTACCGTGTTTCCACTTCGTGACGGCGGCGACTTCGTCAAGCGAAACGAATGCAATGTAATTATCGATTATGTCGCTACTGCAGTGTTTACCCCAACACCCAACACAGCCACCCACAAGCGGCGACACACGCAACAACAGTGCGGCAGCGCAGTTCAGTTGAATGTCGACTAACAACGTGAAATTGGGGAAATTTCAGGTATGACGTCATTGTTGTCAATTCTCATGCGTAGGCGGAGCTAAAAATTTTGGAGAAAATGGCGGGTGTTGGAGCAAGTGTTGGCGGAGTAGTTAGTTTTGTACGTGTATACACATCTCTGCATCTCTGTGCGCAATAAAAACGCCTTTTTGCTGTCGCCATTTCCGCGCAGAGCAAGTGTTGTGGCTAATGGCTGGCATTGCATAACAAATGGTCCTTCGTAAGCAGAAGTTGAAGGATTTTAAAGTGCAAATTTAAATTATATATATAAGCTAACGGCATCAATTTTAATGTTTGATTTTGTCAAAATGTTTCGGCTACTCAAACCGCATGCTTATATATATATATATATATGTAAGTAAGTACATACATACATATTTACTTGTTTACTTGCTTTGAAGAAAAGTCTCTTAATCTGATTTGTTAGTGTCGTCTTAAAGAATACTATTAGTAGAAGGGGTAACCTGAGCTTGCTGGCTTATCAATAGTAGCGATAATAAATATCTTGCAGATGTATCGAAACAAGAGAAATAAATTAGTGTTGAGTTTGTTATTGGCAGATCGATGTTGACCTCAATCAAAACTTAATTTTGTGCTCAAAATATCAAATTAAATACTTTGAAAAATAGTGCTTGTCTTATTTACTTTAAAATTCTTTTCCAATTCGTTTAAATAGGTCAAGCGTGTTATTTGTTGAACCATGATTTTTTGTTGCTTTTTTCTAGTTGATCACCTAGGTGACATCAAGAAGTTGGATACTTGAGATAAGCTCCGATTCTTGTCGCAAGCAGTACATTTTTAACTCAAAATTCTGATAACGGTGATAGTGATATTAATGTATATTTTCCAATTCAACGATTAATCAAATTAGCTAGCATTGACTATCAATATGTATATAAGTCAAAAACAGATGATAATATTTTCTCTTACTATTATTAATATTAACAACTACAGAGATCTCACTTAAACTTCTATGGTTGAAAACTAGGTCCAAGAGATCTCTTATATATATATATATATATATATATAATAGGCGCTCTGTAACCGCTAAAACGATTTTCAGCCGAGCTCCTCCACCAGTTTTTGATATTTTTTCCAACAAATGAAGGGACCAACAGTTTATACTAAGCCGCCTCCGAACAGCTGATATGTTCTTTTATAAGCAGCTTTTGATTTTCATATCAGAAATACACTCGGAGAGATTGACATTCTCTGCCGAGGAGCAAGCGCAACTTAATTTTTTATTTAAATCAGTTTTCTATAACTTTTGGATGTACCTCGCACCGTGATTTGAACCCGAGCTTTATGAATGACAATACGCAATGCTAACCACTCGGCTATCGCGGCCACCATGGCGTCTCATATTGAGCATAATACATACATAGTGTTGCCAGATATACTAAATTGCGACGTGACTGCACTGCTAGATTTTTGTTGTGTCTCTAGTAGGAATAAAAATTTGCTGTTCTTTTCGAACCGAAGTAATCGCCAGAACGACATTGGCTTTTGCCGATTCCAGATTCTTTAACCTTTCTGTGTTAAGTAAGCATAACCTTTGCCTGCCGAGTGCTGGACACTCACAGATTACGTGCTCTACTGTCCGTCCCCATAAACTGCTTACATTTCCTACATTTGTTGTCCCCAATCTGTCGCAGTATATTAAAGAGATGATGCCAAAAGGTAATGCCCTGTTAATAATCCTCCCAGCCGCCTGGAGCCTGGCCTCTTTACAAATGGTACAAACTTTGCGAGTTTAGTATTGTATGTTTTACACATAGTCTTCGCGATTCTGCAGCCATTAGCTCATTCCCAGAGTGCCAGAATGGAACTTGAAGGTTCGGTACTGCGACTTGTTCTAAATAGACACCCTCCTTAGCCAGCTCGCCGGCTATCTCATTCTGCAATAGTACTTACACCTTCATCCATATAAAATTCAGCTTACACAACAACTGTAGCCAGCTGACTATTCACAACGTCGTACATACGTCGGTTAGGTACTTGAGCAATAAGCAGATTTTTCGAATAAAATTATCTTCAGCGACGAGGCACATTTCTCAGTTGCGGTTTAGGTAAATAAGCAAAATTGTTGCAGTTGGGGCTCTGAGAAACAACATATAATTGGAGAGTGGCCATTACAGCCAAACAAAACTTACTGTCTGGTTCGTTTTTTGGTCCGTAGCTGTGATTGGCCCTTCGGTTTTTTGAAAACGACAACGGTGAGACGGTCACGGTCAATCCGGAGCGTTATGGTTTCCGGATATCTGAAGTTTTTCGACTTCAATCGCAGAATACGACTCGGACAATGTGTAGTTTAAACAAGATGGTGGCACATGCCACACAGCACCACGAGCGTATACGGATTTATTGCGAGAGAAATTTTCCGGCTGCGTCATCTCTCAGCTTGCCGATGTCCACTGGCCAGTGAGTTCGTGCGATTAGAAAACGAGGGATTTTTTTTGGTAGGGCCATGCGAAAGACCGTCTTTATAAGATGTCCTTTTTGATTTCTGTAGTTTTATTTAGTTTTTTTTTTATTTCAAAGTTCCAAGGCCTGTTCATTGAGTGGCCTTAGGTTAAAAAAATCGCTGGCAATTTTTCCAAATTTTTTTTTTAATTCAATGCACTTATTTTATTCATTTACTTGAAATGTTATATTAGTTTTGGTGTGAAGTAGGTAGGTGTCAGAAGGAGAAGAAATAGACCGAAGGAAGTCTATTCCCATATAATAAGAATGGCGAGTTTCTTTTAATATTTCAACCAAACTTGAAACTTGGATCGGGTCACTGTAGCATATATACCACCGATTTTGAATATGTAAGATTTTGAATCATTCAAAGAAATTTCAGCACCTTTAGGCGCAATTGAACTTAAATCTGGATGGGTTTTTAGGTAATAATCGAACAAAATCGGGTCAAATGGTTCTTCATTACCTCCAAAACTGTCGTAACTTCAATTTTGAAGAATGTTACGGTTGCAGTGCAGTTTTTAAATTATTTATATCAAATTTCTTATTAAGTTTTAAAAGGATTTAATAGTAAAGGAAATTCAAAAACATGGCACGCCCTATTGACTAAACTTGAAAACAGAATTTTTTATACAAAAATTTAAAATTTTTTGCGATTTACTCAAGAATCGGCAAAATACGACTATTATTCAAACAACATAATAAATACTGCTAAAAAAACAGTTAAAGGAAAAAATTGAAATAAAAAAAAAATATATAATTTTTTTAAATTGAATGAAGAATCCATCTTTTTCAATTCAAAATTGTATCAGAATTCTAAAAAGCTTAAATACTCAAAGCACAGAAATTTTGAACGTTTTTTGATTATTTTCGAAAGAGTCTTTTTATTTTTTTCTCGAAACTACGATTATCTAAAATACAACTAGAACTAAGGTTAATCCGTTAACAAAGCCCTGAAGAAAATGTTACTGGGTATAATTTAAATTCTAAAATTTTCGAAAACGGTAATAAAAAGAGATCTTTAACTAGCAATATCGAATTATCTTATTGGTTTCAACATTTCCTGAGCTGTTGAGCTTGATACCTTTCGTTGGCCACTTCAGTGTACTTATCGCCCTATGACCTTTAAGTATATTTGGGTGAAAATTTAATATTATTCATTAAAAATAATTACAAATAAATATAAAACGAATACAAATAATGTAAGTTTTTAACTAAATTATAAAAAAAAATTATAAAAAAAAAAAAATAAATAATAAAAAAATAAAACTTTTCTTTTTCTATATATTTTTATTTTTTAACGATACAATATAAAGGGTGACTTTTTAAGAGCTATAAGAAAGTTTTTCAAAAAAAAAAAACAAAACAAAAAAACCAATAGAATTCAGAAAAATCCATATAATTTAATGTTTGAAGATTATTTCATGCGAATCTTGACCGTGACTGCGCTTCAAATGGTCCATTTGTTTAGTCCAATTTTGGCATACTCTTTTCAACATTTCGGTCGGTATCTCACGAATAAATGCTTCAATGTTTTCCTTCAATACGTCAATTGAAGCGGACTTGTCTGTATAGACATTGGATTTAACATATCCCCCCCAAAAGGTAGTCTAAAAGCGTTAGATCATGATCATGATCATGATCTAGGCGGCCAATCGACCGGTCCGGAACGTGTAATAAAATGTTCACCGAACTCGCCTCCCAATAAGTCCATTGTTACGCGTGCCGAGTGGTATTTGGCACCGTCTTGTTGAAACCATATATCATGCAAGCCAAGCTCTAAAGAATCACCCTTTACTTTCATTGTATTTCTGCTCTTCTCTCTTCCATTAGAGAGCTTGATATTTCTACAATAATTATACATATATATACAATATATAACTTTGGTAACCTCTGACGCATCTTTTTTTTATCTAAATGGAAGCGACTGACTGCTCGATTTATCTATCGGCATCGAGTGCTTATCAAATCCGCTGGCAAGTGTTTTTAATGGTTTGATGGCTTCTTCACACTTGGTGAGCAAAAAAAAGTAAATCACGGTATATGTACGAGTATGTGTTTATCTCTTTTAATAACCAATAACACTTGATATTAATTAGAAAGCAAATGTTGTTACTGATATCATTTTTATTGCTATCACCAAAGGCGATTAACTGACGTTCACGTCTATCGTTGTTGTGGTGTTGAATAAAAAGACATAAATTTATAAATTTTAAATATGTATTGGATGAGTGCATAAGTTCGCGCCCGATTTTAAGTGCAAACTAAAATTGAAATTTTTTGAAGAAAGCGCTTTTATTAATCAATTATGTATTCGCCATCATGTTCCGCAATCCACTCCCAACGTTCAACCAATTTACGGATGCCTGATTCATAGAAATCGCGCGGTTTCTCGTTGAAAAAGGGTGTCAAGGTGGTTTTTGACGTCTTCCACATTTTTAAATTTTTTTCCATTCAAATTGTTCTGCAGCGATCGAAACAAATGATAATCAGAAGGTGCAATGTCGGGTGAATATGGGGGATGCGGCATGATTTCCCAATTCATCTCCTTCAGTTTGGCCAGGGTCGGTTTTGCAACATGTGGCCTGGCGTTGTCATGATGGAAAAGAACTCCTTTGCGATTGGCCAAAATCGGACGTTTTTCATCAATTGCTTTCTTCAATTCGACCAATTGCTGACAATACTTGTTGGCAGTGATCGTTTCTCCAGCTGGCAAGAGCTCAAAATAGATCACGCCTCGGATATCCCACCAAATGCACAGCAGTACCTTCATCGGATGCAATCCACCTTTCGACATCGGCTCCGCCCCTTCGTGTGCCTGTTTCCATGTTCTTTTGCGTTGAAAATTGTTGTACCGGATCCATTTTTAATCACCAGTCACGAGCCGACCCAAAAAAGGTTCGCTTTTGATCCGTCGAAGCAAAGAAATTGCTGTTGACATACGGTCCACTTTGTTTTTTTCACTCAACTGATGTGGCACCCATGTATCGAGCTTCAAAGTGTACCCAACCTTTTTCAAACGAGGGAATACAGTTGATTTGTTGACGTTCAATTCACTGGCAACCTCTTCCGTCGAAATACGTGAGTTATTCGCAACTAAAGTCCTTAGAACTTCGTCATTAAGCTCAGAAGGCCGTCCACTGCGAGATTGATCTTCGAGGTTAAAATCTCCAGAACGAAATTTCGCGAACCATTTCTTTACTGTGCGGAGTGCTGGAGCACGGTCCAAATAAACTTCGCGAATATCTTTAGTTGCACCGCCTACTGTTTTTCCCTTGCGGAACTCGTATAACATAATATGACGCATATGATCTTTTTCGTTGTCCATCTTCCATGCGTCTTTTCACTAAGCAGCTCAAATCCAAATGAAGTTATTTTCTGCTTGATTTACAGTTCGGACTGTCACCTTTCCAACGATATATAACATGTATATATTTCTTTCACGAGCGCCACTCTCAAACGATTCGAACGGCATCCAGCGGAATCGGGCACGAACTTATGCACTCATCCAATATATTTGAAATAAATTTTCTATAATTTGGATATTGGCCAGGATAATTATGTTAACCTATTAGCCATTAAAACATAAGGAAATTGGTTTCCGTTTTGTGAAGAACTGAGTGGAGTTCAAAGTGAATCTGTGAGGACTTATTTATTTTGAAATTAAAAACTCTGTCAATTGATTTTCCATATTAATCATGCCTCAGTGTCCCTCGACTTGCCACTTTGACCCTCTGCTGGCACTGATGAATTAAGAAAAAAAAAATCATCCAGAAAAACACTCCGTGAAAAAAACGCTTGGAAAACCCTACTGATAAGACTCGTTCCATTCGATAAAATCCGCGCATAACATCACACACACATTTTACAAACAGGCGCTGCCCAAACCATATGGCACGTTTAGTGTGGTTTTGCATGAATTCATGGCGTTCAGTTCGAGTAAACTCTTTTATCTGAAAAGTAATAAATTTCGAGTGGAGTGCGCACGTTTCGATTCGCGGATGCTCCAAATCATAACGACAGCGCAAAAAACCTGCACGATATGTCAATCTCTTTCGGTGACGTAGATTTGTAATTAGCAGATAATCGTATTTATTAAGAAACTAACTGGACTAATTGATGATTTGTTAATGAGAGTGAAATTTGTTTTGTGATTTTTGTTAGTTTCATACTCCATTTTTTCTATACACCCAGACTGATAACTAACTTTTTGGGCATGAGTATGTCGCGGTAGTGTTTTTTCATTTAAATATCCGCGTCGCGCTCGTAAATAAATCAGTTGAGAACTGAAATTTGCCCAACACATTTCGTTCGGAGTTAATAGAATATCAAGGTAATTGGTTCTTTAAATGGATTCAAATGAAATTAAAAAAGTTTTTCTACTCAAAAAAAGAAAGAAATGCGATATGGCAGTAGATTTTTCAAATTAAAGTGCTATCTTTGTTGTCCGTCGAACTGACAGGTGTACTTCGTTGCGTCAAATTAAGAATTTTAAAATGGTTTCGAACATCGTGTTATTTAAAATTATTCTAGAAAATCGGCAGAATAGTAGTGTAGTTGTTAAATAAATACATATTTTCGGCCGAGCTCGTCCGCTAATTTGTAGTTGTGCGTCTTGATGCTTGATGTTTTTCCAACAAATGGAGGGACCTACAGTTTATTCCAACCGGCTCCAGAATACCGTTGGATTTCCATGAGAAGCTTTTATTTCATGTCAGATATACACTCTGATGGCTTGACATTTGGTTCATAAAATATACTCTTTAACCGAGCGAGATTTTTAGAAAACTCTTTAGGACAATTTTCGAATATCGATTTCATATTTCATCTGTGGTTACAAGAATTAACAAAAATAAAATACCTTCAAATAATTTTTTTTTATAAAATTTTTCTTGATTAGGTGTATGCATTCGTGCGGTTTTCTAAGAGAGGGCTCTACTGGTATTTCGCGTTGTGTTCATCTGTGGCTATATTCATTTCAAAGGTACTGTCATTTCGCGTCGTTTTCAGTAGCTGTCATTTGTTATAGCGTGAACAACAATTTGTTTCCTTTATTTGAAAATGTCGAAATATGTACCAGATAAAGTGTTTTTGTGGGGACTTCTTCAATCAGGTGTACAACTTTGCTTCCGCCGTTTTCCGTTAGGTGGCTGTACCGGCTGAGGCTGGTTGAAATACATAGATGATAATGCCTTTAAAGTGAGTGTGNAGTTTTCACTAGCGAAGGACAATACCTTGAATGATATATCTGTAAGCACTTTTTCGCAATAAAGCTTTTAGTTTTAGAAAAAAAACGGCGGAAGCTAAGTTGTACACCTGATACATAACTTTAACATGACGAAAAGTGCTACCGAAAGCCAACATAGCCGAACGAACGTGCCAAAAATGGTTTGCACGTTTTAAAAGTGGCAATTTCGACTTAGACGACTGAGAACGACCCGGACAGCCAAAAAAATTTCAAGACGAAGAATTGGAGACATTGCTCAAGGCAGATGCATGCCAGATGCAAGAAGAACTTGTAAAAGTATTAGGAGTTGAACAAGCAAACGTTCCAGACGATCCTTTATGAATCAAAGCCAAGAGATTTCGAACGTCGATTCTGCATGTTGGAAATGTTGCTTCAACGCCACCAGAAGAAGTCATTTTCGCATCGTTCTATTATGAGCTATTGAAATTGGGTCAGACGATCAATGGGGACCTCTACCGCAAACAATTGATTCGTTTGAAAAAGGCCATCGCAGAAAAACGACCAGAATATGCGACCAGACACGAATCAATAATTTTTCATCATGACAACGCTCGGCCACATGTTGCAAGGCCAGTCAAAAACTATTTGGAAAACTGTGGGTGGGTAGTTCTACCTCACTCGCCTTATAGCCCAGACAGAGCACCTTCCGATTACCACTTGTTCAGATCAATGCAGAATGCCATCAACGGAGTGCGTTTCACTTCAGAACAGGGTATCAGAAATTGGTTCGATTCTTTCTTGACCTCCAAGCCGGATCCACTAACTGCTAGAATGATGGGCAAACATCGTAGCTTCCGATGGGCAATACTTTGAACAATAAATGTATAACAATTTTTTCACAAAAAAACCGCACGAATTAATGCATACACGCAAACCTTGCATCGCTCAAAATCTTGCCAAGCAAATTTATGACATATTTTGATCGGGCTATAATTAGACGAAAATTAGTTTAGTTTACAGGAGTTAAAGATTTATCCGCATAAACACAGTCTTTTGCGAAGCCTCTCAAAAAAAATTCAACCGTGTCAAATCTCGGTGGCCTCTTGACATCGTCAGAGACTTTACGCGATCGGGAAATTTCTCTCCCACTAAAGTCATATTCGCTGCTGTTGTGTAACAAGAAGTGTTCTTCCAATGCAGACGAAGAACATTTTTGTTATCATATAATTTAACGGTCCGATTTGACAGCGCCAGTCTCACCTATGTCGTTTTCATGACAAAGAAAGGTCAAAAGACACCTTCGGACCAAAGAGAGCACCAGACAGTAAGTTTTTTAGGTGTAATAGATTCTCTTCAATTATTTGAGGACTGATTATTTTAATAAAACTTTCATCAAATTTCACCTATTTCCTTTATTAATTTGCCCTGTTGCGAAGAATATGTGTATAATAAGTTTCATTGACCTTATACGCTTTGTAAACTCCAAGCAGTGCAGAAGATAGATCTCCTATACATAAAATAATGGAGCACTTTCTCGTCTCGGAGGTCTCGTTTACAAGATTGGACGGACTACTGCATAACTTTCAATGACTACAGAAATACTACATCTATCTAGAAGCCAATAGGATAAGGGTGTTCCCACATATGCAGACTACTCACTTATACACGGATGGGTCAAGGCTGGTTAACGGGGTAGGCAGTGGGGTTTACTCAAAGGAATTTTTTCAAGTAGTACTGTGGGATATACAGGAGTCTGTCAACTGCTTAGGTCAAATGGTACTGTCAGTGAGATATATCTTTCTTTTCTCCGATAGCCGGGCAGCACTAAGAATTCCGGAATCTATCACGATATAATGAAAGTTAGCAGAAAACTCTCTCAAATCCATAAATGCAGTGGCCAAGAAGCTATATTGGAACCTAGTATGGGCACCTGGACATAGTAACATATCAGGTAACTACATATCAGACGTCATATAAAGGAAGGAGGTGACTTTTCCATTTTCGCCATCATGGAAGAATCTGGGCATGCCGCCCTCCACTTGTAAGCTCTTCATAGAAGACTCTTTCACCGTAGAAGCAACCTCAACTTGGAATAGCCTCCACTACTGCAATATAACTAGAATAATGTGGCCCACTAGGTAGAAGAAAAGGTGCAGAGAGTTTATCTTGCTTGAAGAAGCGTGTTCTATCCGGGAATCTGTTTTTTCCCCATAAGCACGCAGAGAGAGATAGAGAGAGACTGGGTGGGCTAGTGTTTCAAGAATTTTTCCCGCGGAAATGCATACAAGTCGTAAGAGGTGACTAAAATTCAAAAAGGTCCTGCGACAGTCGGTTTTTATACCGGAATGAAACGGACTTTTAAACAGCGGAGGACTGTTATGCCCGTAACATTTCCCAAAAACTATTTTGGGGATTAATTTTGCAGCTATAACAACAACGGTAGATAGAACCTGAGAACTTGATTGACGTTCTTTGCGAATGCCCACCACTTTAGGAGAGTAGAATTATGTCTTTATGGGCGGCAGCCTTTGGAGACTTAAGCGAAATAACCGGTACGGAGTTAGGTCGAGAAAAAAGAGAGTTTAGAAATTTCTTTAAGAACCCGGACAGTTACAAAGTTAAAGACTGTTAACTCAGTCAATCTAAAAGAACACCGCACCGCTTCGTAAGATATTTACCATCAAGTAAAGTAAAATTGAAATATTTTTAGGTGAGTAAATTAATAAATTAGATCCCATTCCCATGGGACATTTAAGCAAGAGCGAAGTCAATTTTAGATCCCTTCTCAAAGTGGTCATCGCGAAAAGGAAATTTTGGATGAGACTCCATATGACAAGGCTGGGGAATCACCATAAAAATGAAAAGCTCTCATCTAGTTGGATTATAATCAGTTGCAGGAAGGATTGCCAGAACCTGTGTTTAGAATCTTGCGAAAATTAACCACCAAAGATTTTAAACAAAATGGCAAAAAAAAAATGAAGTGATCTTCACTGCGAAACTGAGACGAAACAGGAGTTCATGTCATATAAAAAAACGGTTACTGCTCTCTGGAAAGCTTAGAGCGAGAGAGTAGGCAGGAAAACTAATGCCTACTTCTTCTTGAGGTTCTGATTGTGATGAATGTATCACCATAAACGGATAATGGTATGCTCCTTCGTCGAAGAATGATAAGGGTTGTGCTGCTCTCGTGAGCACAGTCTACCCATGGCTGCTGTTTGCATTTCACAGGCCTCTCCTTATAGATTTTCCTCTCTTCCTGAAAAGTTCTTAAAGTGCTGCTATATTAAGACACACTTACTATACAGTTATTTTAGATATTTTTTCAATAAACATACATACATACATACATACATATATACATACATACATACATACATTTATATATTATATTTACCTTGATCTGTACTCAAATAGCGCAGATAGGCTTTATATCCCAGATAGGCGAAAATATTTGCAAAATTTACCGCTGTGAACAAGCGCGGAATTAAGTAGGCGTGTATGTGCGTGTGTAGATAACGATACGATATTAACGATTAACGGTAATAATATGCAATGTATTATATTCACGGTTTTATTACGATTTGTATGTAAAGGAATGTATGTGTCACATAAAGTTCACGCACATTAATAGTTCTCTCTTTCGTTGTTTTTCTTTTTGACAAAAACAACAACTACTACTGATGTCAACACAATTAATTACAACAACAATTAATGCGTATTACTGTCCTTAGCAATAACAAAAACCCGTAAATATTTATACCACTCAACAACGACAATAATAATAATAATAACAACAGCAACAACAACAACAACACTAAGTACTTGCTTATGCACTTATTGTAAATGTAACAACAATATTTACAATAACAAATTATACGTTACAGCTGTAGGGCTGCTGATGCTTCGTTTTCTTGCTGTTAATTTTTTCTTTGTTACCGTTAAACTAGTAATACCAGTAGCTGTAGCTGTTGGCTTAACGGATGTAACAAATATGGCGTTAGCAACGTTTAGCTCCTGGACTTATGTACTGCTAACGGTATCGCCAACAAGCCACTTTGCTGTCGTGTGGCCGCAGCTACTGCTATGGTTGCTACGCTTGCTGCGCTGCCCATTCGTTCTGCCCAATAAAGAAGAGGTGGAAGTCT